CACATTCTTTCTCTTTGGGAAGGTAAAAGTCATAAGATGTCCTTAAGCGGGACAGTTGTTGGCTTCGGAAGATTTGACAGCCATTCCAGAGGGGGCATTTTATTTAACCCAAAGCAAACGTGATGAAAACTTGAGGGTGGCATCACTTCTGAAAGGTGGCAGTTCTGAAATTTCGTGCTGCTGTTGTGCTCCAAAGGGCATTCACGTATTGTAGTAAAAGAAAACAGGTGTTTGCTGGAGGAGGTGAGGGAGGTAGGATGGAAGGGGAAATGCAGGGCTGGAAAGAGAGAGAACTTGGTGGTGTTTGCAGAGACAGAAGATAAAGGCAGCAGGTACCTCAGATCAGCTCATTCGCCCTGTTCTTAGAAATCTAATCTGGTGGATGAAAATACCAAGGCCTTTTCTACTCCTTGTGCAACTTTGCTGTGCACTGGAATACTGGATTAAAACTCCTCAGGTCCTTCTGATCTCCAGGGGGCTGTGAGGAGTTCCCCAGGTGCTGGATGCTGGGGGTACCAGTTGGAACTGCTTTTTCCTTACTCTTGAGTAGCTCCTGTGTTGCTCAGACTTGCAAACCTCTGTCAGATCGGTTGAAATTGCTTTAATCTTCAAAAGTTTGTGTCTGGCAGGCCACTGAGGGGATCACAGTTTGTTTTTTTCTGAGGAAATGAGACTTTAAAAGTTGCTAATTGCTGTCTTTAGGCTGTTACATTTTCACAACATCTGTGCTGTAGTATTTGTACACTCTGTAATACAAAACTTGCAGGAAAGCAATATATTTCTAAATATAAGAGATTTAGAGTTTGGTGTAGGCTTAAAATGAATTCAGGTGTGTTGTGGGGTGGAAGTTGGTGTAGTTATCTGATGAGTACCAAAAAGTGAGCATTACAGACACTCAGCACCTTAACCAGCCAGATAGAATTTATTGCTACACTATTTTGGGTTGCAGATCTGATTGTTCCTGTGTTAACCTGGCAATTAATAGGGGGTTTGATACTGAACAATTAACTTTTTAAATATGTCACTACATTCTTCTTTGTTGTTTCTCTTTGGTAATGCTTATCTAGCCAGTGCTCTGGGATGCTTTATGTTATGGAGGCTCAGAAGTAGAAAGAAGACTTTTTTTTCACTGGAAAGTTGGAGGGAAGCTTGGATAGTTAAACCCTGGCCCCTGAACTTCAGGATGGCTCTGTAAAGGTCAGGAGGAACTCTGGGAATCAACCTAAGGCCATCAGGAATTCTTTAGAATGAAAAAGAAGTCATTCCAACAGGTGAAAGTAGAAAGGGCAGACCGCTCAGTGAATTAAAACGAGCGCTGGTTCTGGGAATAATGTTCCTCCTGCAGGTGATGCAGCCTTTGCCATGAGCAGCTGATGTCAGATGAACTCTGGGGGAGGGAGAAGAGTTTGTGTGCAGCTGTACCTTGTCACAGCTCTCAATATGGAGAAATTACAGATATTAAAGAGTTTTCATTGGTTACTTTTTACTCCGTTGTGTTTCTGAAAGTAGAGGAAATGTGCTTTTCAAAATGATTATTTTTGCTTGCCAGTTGATTTTATTCTTGGTGTGATGAGTGACCTTTGGATATAAGATATTCCCCCCAAGTCCAGCATGATGGTTGTCCTTGAGGTCTAATTACAGGCCGTTCCTCCAGCTCTGAAGTTCTTGCTAAAACTACACTTATGATCTTGGTTTCATTTGCCCACAGATGACGTGATATTGCCCCATTCTTTGCAGTTGATTTGTATTTTTCTCACCTCCTTTGGTACATTTATTAATAGGGGGTTTTTGCTTAGTTTGGGAGATGGTGTTTCTAATAAATCACCCTTTTGTGGAGGGTGAGGTAAATCACCCAGGTTTTCATTTAAAACCAGCCAAGTAAAACAGGAGACTGAGGAAACAGCAAGGAAATATCCTTTTTTTTTTTTTTTTATTATATGTTTTGAGTTTTGACTTTGACCATGGTTTGTTTTGGCTTCTCATCAGCTCCTTGAATAAACAATTACACTTTAGGTCAATCTGATTTTTTTTTTTCTAAATACTTGAAAACTGATATACCAGAAAATGTTAAATCAGGCAGTTAATTATTCCTTTGATTAGTTAAGCAGCCCAGCTCTTTCTTCTGTGATGTTACTGTGATAAAAAGATCTTTAAACCACCTTGTGCAGTCTCAGTTCCCGGGGTTCCTGCAGGAGGTGGTTGGAATGCGTGGCTCCAGGTGCCACTGGAGTGTGGGTTTGGAATTGGATCCAGCACAGGGTGAAGGTGTCTGTGCATGGAAAATAAGAGGGAGAAGGAGGGTGAGAAGGTCTGAGAGGCTTTAACTGAGAGGAAAGATTTGGTGGAGCAAATCTAAGGATCCCCTCCCCTATCTCTGGGCTCAATTCCTTCTCCTTCCTGTGGGAATCACTGCCTCGGGTGGAAGACTAAGGAGAAGTCTTAACCCACCGAACTGATTTGCAGGAAGGAGTCTTGGTGCAGGAAAAGTTTGGGGAGAAGTTTGACAGGATGGTTTGAAGCAGTGGAAGTGTGAGAGTGGAGAGGCAGCAGATTGAGGAGGTTCTGAGGGGGCTGGAGTTGGGGAGAGAACAGAAGGATGTGTTTTATTCACCAGTGAATAAAACTTTTAAGCCGCATTTGTCTCTAAATGGAGGTGCTGTAACTCAGGGGTGTCCACAAAGTTGATATCCAGAGTAAGATAAGAACTCAAAGATGGAAGTTTTGGTCATGAGGACATAAATCAAGTGAGGTGAACAAGATCATTTCTGCTGAGGAGCAAAAGGGAGCTCCAGGTGAGTCCAGGAGGAGCAGCCCTGCCCTTGGGAATGGCATGGACAGATCAGCTCCGTGGAAAATGCAGCCTCAGTGGGGACACTCCTGTTCTGAGCTTCCTGAGTCTTTTCAGGAACAAACCCAATATCATTTCTAGATCCAGACAACAAAAGGGAAGTCGTGTCTGCAGCCACTCTGTTAATTAGCAGTGATTAATAAATAAGCCCAGTTGAAGTTGGTCAGTGTGTGTGAGATGTAAAATGCACGAACAGGAAAAGAACAGGTTTCTCCAACTGGTTCATCTGCATCCCTGTATTTTGTCCTGGGGCATAACTTTCAGTATTTTCCATAACTTCTCCACTCTGGGCTCTTTGTGTGGCAGTTGCAGCTTTTGAGGGACCAGTTTTGCTGAACTTCCAGTTCTTCCTCATCTCACAGAGGGGAAATCTGGGAGGGATTCAAACAGTTGCAGTGCAAAGATGACTCTGGAAGGAAGAGTTACTGCCCTTGTTAGAGTGAGTGGTTTTTAAGGAGGGGGATGTGGGGATGAAGGAAGCTTTATAAATGTATATATAAGATCCTAGAAGTTAGAATTTAGCTACTAAACTGTTATCAACATTTTTTTTTTCAGTCAAACCCCCAGGAATTTGTCTTACTGAAGCAAAGCTCAAAAAATTAGGAAAACAGAGTTTAGTGCTGGGCAAGCCTTTTATTTTTTTTAAATTTTTTTTTTTACATACTATCTATAGCTAAGGATCTGTCTTTTGTGGTAAGCTTGACCTAAATTGTGTGATGGAGTTCTTGTTTTTTTTCAGCCATGTGCTTTGGCCCTGAGAGATCGAGAGTCATGGTAATTTGTGATGTTTAAAAGCAAAGGTAGTATGGGGTGATCCCCACCTTTTACTCTGTCTGTCACTCTTGGCCTCTGTCCAGTGTTCTGGAGGATCTTTAAAGCCTTCCAGGAGTGAGGCAGAAAGGTGAGTTTGGAAGTTTGGGAGCCTTTTTGTATGGATTTCTGTTTGTGTGGGTGCATCTCTATGAAAATGTGTGTGTGTGTGCATATGGATGTCCCTGTTTCAAAGAAGTCCTAAATGCTTGCTGAGGGTGATTGTTCTGTGAAGTGGTTTCCTTCTGGACTTGGCTTTCTGATCTAGGCCAGCAGAATTCCCTTCTTAGCTCGAGATTTTTGAGAAATTCCGTGTGAGATGTGGAGATGGACACTTGGTTGTGTTAAAAATGTAAATGTCCACTTAAAAGAACTCTGCCCTTCTCAACTAGTGTAGCAATTAGCTGATTGTCCAAGTGGTTCAAATCCAGGAAAGGAGGAAGGAAGAATTAATTGTGCCCTGGGTGTTGGGGAAGGGTGTGTGGCCAGGACAGAGAATGCAGTGCCCTGGGATACAACCAATTCCTGCCTAAGTGGAGTTTAATGTTTGGTTTATTCAAGTGTAGAAGCGTTTGGAGATGGAAATGGGACATTTGCTACCAGCTCATTGAGATGTTTGGGGGTTGAACTCAGTGCAGAGTTCTGTTCTGGTTTCCATCTGCACTGAGTGTGGGGAGCGTTTATCGCTCTGCCAATCAGTGATTCACGGTGGTTAAATGTCATGGGAGATGGGTCTGCAGTTGAAAGCAATAATCATCAACTCAGCTCCTTGAATTAACCTTATTTTGAATCCTGCACGTTGTTCTTATCTTGATAGGTTTGGTGTGGTTTGGGTTTTGTTTGTTTGCTTGTTTTTCCCAGTCTTTTATCTGATCAGGAAAAGGAAGTTGAGGTCTTGTGGTCAACTCGAAATGCAGACTTTGAAAATCTGGGGGTAAAACCCCAACAAAACAAAACAAAACTAAAAACCCCAAACCTGAGGAGTCTGGGTGATCAGTAAAATTGGTGAAGGTTCATACTTAAAAATACACATCAATCAGTAGTTCCCAGTGAAGCTTCTAAAGACTCTTTCATAAAAATAGGATTACAAGAAGAGTCTGTCCTCAATCACTGATTTTCCCAGCAGTTTTCAGGAACACTGTGCACTTTCTGTTTTCAAATCACTTGCACCCAAACCTCCCTTAACCAAATTACGTATTTTTTGCTTCAGTAGAGAAACTTGAGTTTCCAGTATGAAAATACATTTATTTTCCGTGCTCTCACAGATAATTTCTAATAAAAATACAGCGATTGCACGTTGGGGTTTTTCCCTCCTAATATGTTTGTTTTTTGTTTTGTTTAGTATCAGACATTGAAGGTGGTGATGCATTGCAGCTCAGAAAGGAACATGCCCTCAAGATATTTGCTTACATCAATTCCTGGACTCAAAGGTAATTTGGGACCGAGCTGGAATGTTGATGGTATTGAATCTCAGCAGCAACTTTACCTTCTTAAAAACACAGTGGAGTGAATTAGAGAATGGGCAAGTTGTTAATGTGATGCTTGGAGAGTAAAGACCATTTTTTTTTCCAGCACGTGGAAATGTGTGGATAGGAGTTTTTAGAAAGAATTGACAGTAAAGATGCTCAGAATTCAGTGTTCAGCAGTGGATCCAAGGCCAAACTAAACCAGGAGAAATACTGAGAAAAGCATAAAGGATGAACTGGAAAATTTGGGTGTTTAGAAGATTCCAAAAGTAAAAAAAAAACCAACAAACAAAACAAAACAGGAATGTCACACTTGGGATACCTGTGAGAGCAGAATCCTCCTCTTCCTCATTCTACCAAAAGATGACAAACCAAGTTCCTGATCCTCTGCCACGTGCTTTTAGACACAGAGGAGGAATTTAGAAATCCAAACAAACAGCAGGCACAGAAAGCAGAATCCTGGCATTTGTTGACAGGTCCTGGATCCCATTTTCTTCTGAGAACAATTGCAACCCAGTCCTTTTCCACGGCATCATCTGTTCACATGTTGTGCTGTTACCAGCTCTGGTCTGACAACCCCAACCTGAATTAAAAAATATAGATTAGATAACATTTAACTCTCGATTTCCTCCTGGTTTCTCTGTTACCTTCCACACGAATTGGTTTCATTCTGTAAAAGGGTGTGGAAAAGAGTCCTTAAGCTGCTCAAAGCAGAGTCCAACGAAGGAAGGAGTTGGACTTGACATTTTAATTTCTGTTTCTGCTCTGCCAAACGGGCCCTTCTGAGAGTTCTACTTGTTGTTTTGAGGCCTTCCTTAAGAACTGCTTTTTAATTTGTTGCCTGTGGTTGAAATCTCTTCTTTCCTTCAGAAGATCAGCTGGAGCTCAGCCTGGAGAACACCTTCTTCTTCCATCTGCCTGTGCTGCTTCCATTTGAGTTTTCTCCTGGAAATACTCGTGTTCAAAGAAGCAGAATACTCTTTTATTATTTCTTTTTTTTTTAATAGATCATTAATTTTTTGGTGGAGCTCTTCCTGACAGAGGTTTTGCACATACCTCTTAGAAACAAAATTCTCCAACGAGTGGGAATGTTCACCCGAGTTTCCACTGTTACTGAGAATAATTTGTTACACCCAAGTGGGGCAGTAATTTGCAGGCATAGCTGATGGACCTTTTGCAGATAGTTTTCCCCAGGGATAAACGCTTGAAGATGAAATGCCTGAGGATACACTTGGCTTTGCCTGCAACCCCTTGTTGCCATTTGTTAATATGAAAATACATTTACAAGTAAATGGCGAGAATCTGCTTTTCAAATGGGTAAAGGCACACTCCCCTTGTATTAAAGGGGATTTTTCTTCCTGCACAGATGGAACAGAAGGGTTTAGATGCTGTGCTGGAATCAGGGAATCCTGAATGTTATCTTTTTGTCTAACCCACTGGGAAAAAAAGAAAAAAAAAAAGTATATTGAGAAAAATCTGTGCTTTGAGGACAGTTTGTGTTCCATCAGGAGAGGCAGCACCCTCTACCTGTCACAGTTCGGGCTTCTCTTGGCTTTTTTTCTTACAAATCAGGATTTATTAAGCTCAGTTTCTAAATTAAATGCTGTGTTTGCAGAAGAATTTTTTTTGAATCACTTCTTAGAGCGTTGATTTCTTTCCCTGTCTTTTATCTTCTCATGTTCTTCACCAGTGGGATGTGTGATTTTTATCTTATTTTCATGTTTGAGAACTCTGCTCATGAACTGGAGGTTCCAAAGTATCTGTTTTGGGGGGTTTATGCACCCAGAATGTGTTTTACATCTCCAGTTATCCTCACCCACAATTAGACTTGTGGTAGAGTTTTGTAATTGATGCTTTTATTGATTTGTCTTATTATATTGATAAAGGGGTGGTGTTTAGTTTTCCCCCTTGTTCTTTTCCACTTCCAGTGTGTCAGTAAATAAACAGTGGGACAATCTCTGAGCCTGCCAGGTGAAAAAAGGACTGGAGATAATGCATTTTCCTCGGTGGGAAAAGGGCGCCAGTGTCCACGGGATCCCTCTCCAGATGCAGATAAAGGAAGTGAACTTAAACACTCAATTAAAAATAAAACTATTTTGCAGCCCCGTTGGTTTGAAAGTATCGAGAACGAGTTCTTCCAGGGCTGACAGAAATGGCAGGTGATTTATTGCAGTGAAAAGCAACAGAGAAAAGCAGATGAGGAAATGGACTCAGGAAACATCCTGCAAAATGTTGCTGCTGTAGTAGCACAGTCACCTTGCCCACGAGAGGGTTTTGCTGTATTTTACTCCCAGGAGCAGCTGCTAAATGATAGCAGGGACCTCACAGTTATGATAAGATTTGGAAGTAGTGGGATTTTCACAGGGTTTATGGAAGGTTTTGTGACTCTCACCCCTTCTGGGTGGAGCCCCTTTCGTTTGGGTTGAGTCTGTCAAACGTTTGAAATGTTTTAAGGTGCAGAGTTGTTTATTTTGGTGTTTCTGTTTGCTTGCAGGCAATGTTTGTGCTGTTTCAAGGAGTATAAACACCTGGAGATCTTTAACCAAGTAGTCTGTGCCCTCATTAACTTAGTGATTGCCCAAGTTCAAGCTCTGCGGGACCAGCTCTGTAAACATTGCACTCTCAACATCGAGCCCACGTGGCAAGAGCAGAGTCACCACGAGGAGCCCCTGAATGTAGAGAGAGAGCCTCACGAGGAGGAAAATGGAGAAAGGCAAAAATCTCTAGAGAAAAAATTCGACGCTGCACGAACTTGTCTCCTGGCCCAGGAGGAGCCCGCCAAGAACACGGATGCTTTCGGCTTGTGGAGCACCGAGGAGAAGGAGAAGTTGCTGCTGTGCGTGGCCAAGATCTTTCAGATCCAGTTTCCTCTCTACACGGCTTACAAGCATAACACCCACCCCACAATAGAGGTACAGCTTCCTTGTGTCTGCAGTGAATTATTTTGGGCAAGGGTCACTCTATGTGTCTGGTGCTCCTTGCTCTCAGGGCCAGCTCTCCCCCTTGGCTCCAGCACAGCTTCTCGAAAGAACTCGACACATCCTCTTATATTTTCTTTAAAATTGTTGTAGGTAATATATTGATAATGTTGGATGGAACTGTGCACTGAGTTATTGTACTGGTTAAACACCAGGAAGGCAAAAAGGGGACTGGGGCAAGGCCTTTCCTCCAGGAGGTAACCCGTTAATAGTTTACTGATTTCGTTGCAATCTCTGGTTCTGGAAGCAAAGCTTCATAAACTGGACTTTGGGCAAGACCAAACTTGTTAGAACAGCTTAGAAATCGCCTGGAATAACTGAGCTCTGCACAGGTAGCTTTGTTCCACAGGGCTGATTTTTCTCTGAGCTGCTGTTCACATTGTCCTTATTGTCTTCTGAAAAACAAACCAAAACATTCAAAAATCCTGCCGTGTTTCATTCACAGTTTCTGGATTAAATGTGATGGTTTTAGCATTTTCTAGGTGAAAAAATTCATCTCTTGTAAAGGTTGGCTTTTGATCTCCCTTGTGGCAGTTTAGTAACAACTAAACTATTCTTTTACAGAATTTATGTGGAAAGAAGGTGTACATTGAGCTATATAGAAAAGGCTTCTATCCAACAAATTTTTGAGAAAGAGTGGACAGTGAAACTGCAGTTAACCCACTCTTTTTTTATTTTTTATTTAGAGAATTTTGGGAGCTCTGTTTGAACTCTGAGTGCTGGAGTTTGCTTTAAAAACTGAAGTCCAAAATAAGAAAATCCCAAGTCACACCTAATTTAGGGTTGTGTGTGTTAAGGTGATCACAGCATCTCCCCAGTTAATGAACCCTGATTAAAAAAAAAAACTGACTTAAAACTTACAGTGGCATTTTATAGTTGGGCTGGATTTTGTGGTTTTCTTTCCCAAACATTTGGGCCCAAGTGAACAGAGTTGTTTCAAATGTATGTGTATGGAAGGAGGAGGCAAAGTTAGCATTTGTGGCTTGCAGGATTTGTGGATTGCAGGTTTCCCATCATTCTTTCTGAGCTGCCTTTTAAACTTTCACGCCCGTAAATTAATCCGCAGCTCAGCCTCGCAGGGAGGAGCTCTAGAGGGCAGATCTGTCTTGTCAGTTAAAAACAATAAATCAATGACCGCTGAAGTGATTTATCCTCTGTGGGACACTGACTGAAACCAGCTCCGCAGGAATATGGGGTGAACAATCCTGGAGCAGCTTTTCCATCTACAAGCACACTTGATTCTTTTAAATGACAATTTAATCTATTTTTTTTTTCACTTCTCTTTCAATTCCACTCCCAAATGATAAGAAGAAAATCTCTGAGTGCCTGATGGGATTTCTCTTTTACTTGGTGTGCAGCCTAAAAGTGATTCAGCTCCAGATGTCACCTGCCATATTTGTCATGTAACTTGTTCATTTTTGGAGGGGGAGATTTTTTTGTCCCAACATCAAGAATTATTGTCAGAAACTGATATTTTCTCTGTTTAGGAAGCACTGGGATTCTGTTATTCTGCAGCAGTGTTAGGCATTTTAATGTCAAAACTTTTTGCTCCTATCAGTAACATACTGAGGTTTAGAATTTCATGTTGGGTTTCAGGAGGTTTAGAATTTGATTTTGGATTTCAATCTAAAACACATCTTAGTTAAATTGAGACAAGTTTAGTCCCAGTAACGACAACACCTTTTGTTTTAAATCAGACTTGGTCTCAGTCCTCAAGAGATCACAGAATGAAAATCCCTGTTTGAAGTGCGTTGTCAATACTTGGTAAATTAAACGGATTCCTGGACAGGCTAAATCTGCCAGGAATTTGTTGGGAGAAGCTGCTGTGGCTCTTCCTCTCCCTCTCAGCATTTCTTTTGCTCTGGAAAAAGGGAAATTTGCTGATGCAAAGCAGACTCCCACCTGCACCCTGACTTCAGGAATTCCCTGTTCCACATTCTTGAGGTGAATTTGCAGCATTTAGTGGAGTCGTCACATCCAGTGAGGTTTTACTTTGCCTGTTCTTTTCCTGCTTTTGTGCAGCAAGTTTAATCCACTTCAGGGAAAGTAAAAAAAAATCCATAAAAGGAGGCTCTTAAAATCCTGTGGAGAGAGAGAGAAGCAACAATGTAAAGTGAACTCCTGAGCTTTGCAGTGTCTCAGAATGAACGTGGAATCCAAAGGGAGTTCCCCTGATTGTTGGAGCAGCTCTTGATGGGATGAAATGAAAGAGGGGGAAAAATCAAAATAATTCAGTTGGTGCCTGTAGCTGTAGTTCCCTGTTTGGAATCTTGTGCTCTCTGTTTTTCCAAGTAAATATTTTCACCCAATTCCACGCAGGCAGGGACATCTTCCACTATCCCAGGTTGCTGCAAGCCCTGTCCAGCCTGGCCTTGGACACTTCCAGGGATCCAGGGGCAGCCACAGCTTCTCTGGGGAAGCTGTGCCAGGACCTCACACCCTCCCAAGGAGGAATTTCTTCCTGATATCCAATCTGAACCCACCCTCTTTCAGTGGGAAGCCATTCCCTCTTTTCTTTGGACAACGCTATCCCTGCCTGCCTTGGGAAAAAATCCCTCTCCAGCTTTTCTCCAGCCCCCTTTAGGTACTGGAAGGCTGGAATATCCCCTGAAGTGATGGTGGGGTTTAATGCCACAGGAGATTCCCGTGAGGAATTCTCTTATTTCCTAATAAATTTGATCTTCAGGAGCTCTCAGGCTGTTCTGTTCCACATCTGCAAGGACAGGAGTCCCATTTCCAGGCTCAACTGCAGCACTTTCACAAGCTCTGCAGGACCTGTCCCACAGCCCTCCCTGAGTTTGTGCTTCCTGCATTCCCAGAACTGGAGCTGACTTGACAACAGGTCTCTCTCTGTTTTATTGAAGAAAACTGATGGAATTTCTCACCCTCTCCCTGCAGTTTTCACCAGCAGAGCATTTGAACACCTTTCCTTGCTGCTTCAAAAACACACCACCTACTGCCTTCAGAGCTGCTTTAAAAAAAGAACTGCTGGAGTATCACGAGTTCAGGCGTGACTGGGAGTTCAGCAGGAGGAAAAAAAAAAAAAAGGAAAAATAAATGCTTAGCTATAATATGAGCATATTGAATAATTCAAAATGTTTGTATCACACTTAATCCATCCAAAATTGCTTGCCTCCAGCATCCTCTGGTACAGTTGGGAGCTCACTCCTACACAGCTTATTTTAAAATATATTCAGGAAATTTCACTTCAAAACTGAACTTTCTGTTCAACTTCCCCTGGATTGGTGACTGTCAGTGCTGGAGGGATGGCAAGAGGAATTTGTATCCATGGCAACGTTGTGTTTGACAGGCACATTTTACACCTGCAGTGCCCTTTTGCCCCCAGCCACGTGCACCAAACACCCAATTTGTGTCGCAGCCCCGAGAGAGAAACTTCCTGCTCTTTGCTGCCCAACAAGTGGGTGTTGTGGGCATTGAAAAGAAAAACCATTTTCCCAAACCCTCTCCAGTTTTGTGCTTCCAGAAAACAGATTTCTGGTTGCAGCAATAGGGTGATACAATCCCCTTCCCCATCTTGGCTTAATCCTGGAAGGGTGTGACACTTTTTATGGGGACAGTGAATAATTTGACAGTTTCTACCCCTTAAATCATGAAATGCAGGATTGTAGGACATCCTGCACTTCATCTCAATTCAGGTGTTGGCAGATGTGTCTCATCTTCGTGGAGGAATTGCCTTCCAGAGTACCTGGCTTGGTTCTGCTCTGTGTGCCAGACCATCCTCTTTGCCATATTCCTGTTGAAAAAAAATAGGGATCTGAAGGGGCTGGGATTGTAGAATAATCTGATAATCCAGGTGTCGAGAGCACCAGTGAGATGTTCTCACAAGTGTATCTTTTGTGTTCTTATATCTCTTTCTTAACAAAGTAAAAACTATGGAAAAGCGTATTTTGGAATGTAAAAGTGGAGCAAAACTTGTGTCTTCCTCTGAATTCGGGGATTGTTTTATTCTGTTAGGTGACAGCGATACCTGGGAAGGGTCACCTGTTTCCAAAAACGCTTTTTTGTTCTATAAATGTGCTTTTATTGCTCCAATTAACTCTGTTTTTCTTTCTCTTTAACCAGGATATTTCTGCTCAAGAAAGCAATATATTAGGGGCGTTCTGTGACATGAACGTAAGTTATCCAAGAAATTTAAAAAATACTCTCTGCCTGTGTGTTAAACTAACTGGCTGGCTCTAATACTGATGCTGAAAACTCCTTCTTCCCGTGTATTTTTGCAGGATGTAGAAGTCCCCCTGCACCTGCTCCGTTATGTTTGCCTGTTCTGTGGGAAGAACGGCCTTTCCCTCATGAAGGATTGTTTCGAGTACGGGAGCCCCGAGACGCTGCCCTTCCTCATAGCACACGCTTTTATCACCGTGGTGTCCAACGTGAGTGTTCCTTAGGAATTCCTACCAAAAAAAAAAAATGTCTGGAAGGATTCAGGGAGAAAGAAAAAAAAAAAGTTGGAAGTTCCCCCCCCACCCCCGTTGGGAAAAGGTTGGGCAGATTTTTGGATTTCTCAGCCCCGGAAGAATCTGAAGAGATTGTTGGGAGAGGTCATTTCTCTCTCCCTGAAATTGTGCCATGAAAATATCTTCAGTTCCTCGGGATGTTTTAAATTTTTAGCTCTGTGAGGCAGGAATGAAAAGCCTGTGGGTTTCTTTGGAATTTCTGTGGTTTTTTTATTATTACAGATATTTCTATTATTTATATTATTTGCAGCATAGAGGGGATCATCTCTTATTCTCACTCAGAATGCACATCCTCCGTCATCTCTGTGATTTGAAATGGCAGTGATTTTTGGCTGCTGGTGGAATTACAAACTGATTTCAGAGGGGATTTGAAGATTGGGGATGAAAATAAACCCCAGACCTGAAGAAAGACACGTGAAAGTTTGGTGTGATGTGAGGATGTGAAGTTGTGCCCTGGCTGGGGGAAGTTACACCTGGGCAAAAAGGAAACCAGGAGTTTGTTGTGCCTCATAAAAAGGGAGTTCAACATCATTTTGACACTCTTGGCAGTTTGAAATCCTTGTTTTTCAATAAGAATTCTGCCTGCAAATCCCATTTCCTGCATATCCCATCCCAGTGCAACTGCTTTTCTTCTTTGCCCTTTTTGAAATCTTTATTTTTCTCCACAGAAATTGTTTCTTTACTTTATTCTTAGTGACGTGCCCTTAACCCAAAATACTTCTCATCAGACCTTCTCTTTGCAGATGATTATTTGGGAACTCTGCATTTATCTTTTTTTTTTCTAGTAGGTGACACGTTCAGCTCTTTCCTGGAGCTATTTTAGATGGTTAAACCTGCCAGATAAAATGCAATTCCATCCAAACCCTAACCAGAAGAACTCTTTCTTCAACCTCTGCCAGCATTGCAGCTTTTCCCCATTTAACCAGCACCTTTCTTTTGAGCTCTGGCTTTCCCAGTTAGGGGAAAACTCATGTAAAAAAAATTAGATTTTATCTTTCAGTTCACTACAGAAAGTATAAGGAGATGTTGTTTTATGTGTAATTATTCTGCCTTATTCATCCCCTTGCTGCATTTTGGTGTCACTCTGTATTTGTTAGCACTGCTTCTGACTTTCAAATGCAATATATTTATTAGATCCAAATGAGGCAGCTTTATTTTTTTTATATAAAATACATTTTACCTTCCCCATATTAATATTAAAATATTTCTTTACTTTTATAATGATGATTTTGATATAATGTTTCTTTCTATAATTTTTCTATATTTCTATAACGTTTGTATCCTTTCTATAATTCATATAACAGGTAAGTATAAATGTTTTAATAAATGTTTCTGGGAGTGAAATGATACACCAAACTCCACTAAAACAAAAATAAGGATGCACAAAACTGGTTTTTTTTTGGTGATCTCAGGAGGAACCCTGCTAATCTGACTTGGTTTTTTCTTGATGCATTTGATTTTTGGGGGATTTATAGATATTTATTCCAATAATAGCTCAGGGAGCAGCTCTGCAATGTCACTTCTCGTCTGGTTCCCAACATGGAAAGCCAGAGCAGAGTGTGCAGTTACTGTAATTTGATATTTTATCATGTTTTGGATGCTAGTTGATGCCATTTTATATATGCTGGTTTATGTCATTTAAATAATTCAGTATTTGAATATTTGACCTATTTGAGTCCATGATGAAAATGATATTTTCATTTGTAACGTGGGAAATGATTCTTTATTTGAATTATTCCAAGGCTGAAGGCTGTATGTAGTGCAAGTGCACAGGTGAATAAAATGGCTTTAAAAGTTTGAATTGATGGAGACTGAAAACTGCTGTGAACAGTGAAAGCCACAAGAACAAAATGCTGAAACCGCTTCATGCTTTTCCTCCGCAAAGAAATACATTTTCTTGGCTGGCTGTGGGACAGAGCACGCCGTGTTAAACATCAAATTGTGTCGATACAACAGTATCTTTGTCATCCCTGCAACTCCCCGTCGAAATGGTGTTGAATTGCTGTTTCCAGCACGAGCATCTTCTGGGTTCCACTTCCTACCTGGGGGATATTTGCATTTTTCCCCCCTCTTTTCCCCCCCAGTTGGATCAGAAGCTCCTTCCAAGTGGGGGCTTTTTTTTTTTTTTTTTCCTTTTTATTTTTCTTTGCAAGGTGAAAATGGGGCTGGTTTGTTTAGCAGAGCAGGTTCTGTTGTTGCGCTGTAAAAAGTGAATCTGCAGATAACTTTGTGCAGAACTGCCCCCAAAAGCGACTTGGCTGATGATGGAAATGCTGACAATCATCGCCGCTGATCCGCTTTTATTCCAGCCGAATATTTTCCCCTCCTGACAAGGAGCAGGACGTGCATTTTCTGCACTCGGGGTCGAATTCTTTGCCACTGCTGCAAGAAATCCTGGCTGAGATGAACCCTTGCTTCAAGGCCAGAGGTGGAGGGAGGTGCAGATGGCCCTGAGTGACAGTGTTGGCTTCTCACCAGAGCTGTGTGTGCAGATGATTAAAACGACCCGGGGAGGGAAGAGCTGCTGCCTTTTCATCCCATCCCTGCTGGCACTTGGCTGCCTCTCTCTGTAACAGGTTGAACAGGATCCTGTTTGAAATGCAGATGGCAATTCTAACTTGGCCTGTGGAAGTGGTTTGGTTGGTCCTTTCCCTCTCACAGAGGTGCCCAGTAGCTGTTTCAGGGTGGTTTTTTTTATTTCTCTGCATATATTCCTGCATTTTCTTCGCAAAGGTGGTAAAGGGAGAATTGCAAATATGAGAAGTGGTGAAAAACCTGGGCTCGATCATGGCTTGTAAAACATTATTTTAGAGGATATAGAACCCTAAGAAGCAAAACACCAGCGAGTCAAACAATGCTGCTTGATTTAGGAGTGATTTGCAAGGAACAGAAAGAGTGGAATAATTTTCTTGTAGGCTTGAAAAGAAAAAAAGAAACCCCACAGGGCTGAGTAGCAGTTTTTCCTACTGAAGAAAACACAGAAAATAAAAGAAAATGAGGCACTGAGCAGTATGCTACTCCTTATACTCTTTAAAGTGTGTATTTTCCAGTTGACAAGCAGGACAGATGCAGCTCCCGTTTGGAAAATCAGGAAATGAAGAGGTTGAGGTTGAATGAAAAACACCAAGAAAACATTTTTTTTTTTTTTAAGTGGGGTTGCAGGTGCAAACGTACCAGCAATATTTCATTTTTTAAAATGTGATTACTGAAGTTTTTCTCTCTGTTTTTGCATTACAGATCAGAATATGGCTGCACATCCCTGCTGTCATGCAGCACATTATACCCTTTAGGACCTACGTTATCAGGTAAACTTTTATTTGCAGACTTTTTCTTGTGGGGACTTTTGGACGTCGCAGTTATTTATCACTGCAGCTGATGGACTTTTAGTTGGGCAGGTTGTTGCTCTGACTGTCCCATTTCAGCAGGGAGAGTGAAAGTGATGTTGGGGGTCAGTTTGGGCAGCTCTTTCCACCCCCTCTGGTTTCCTATCAATCAGCTCAATCTCATGAAAGCATTCTGAGTGGGACATCCTGACAGGTTGTGGCAGGTTCAGTTGTGCCACACCCTCAGTGTGACACCTGCGTCCCACTGAACATCAAATCTGCAGTGAGGGGATGGAAGTAGAGGAGCAGTTTCAGATCTGGAGTTCTAACTCTGCTTCCCATTCTGATGTTCTGCATTCCCAGCTGGCAGAGGAACTGAGGTGTGAGCAAAAGTCTGCTCACACTTTTTTGTGTCTAAATATATCCTGTCCCCAAGATTTTCTTCGGAGCTGCCTGTCATGAAAAACCCTTTCAAATTAAAGTACAATTATACAAGTGATTTGTTTCCAGTGGGTTTCTCAGGACAATAGAAACGTTTCAGGGAGCTGCTGATGGAACAATCTGTGTGTGTATCTGCCTGGAGGTGCAGGGGTGTGGTCACAGCTTAATTCTCCTTCCAGTGGCCCAACATAAGATTTTCCTGGTGCAGGGCACTGCTCTTCCATAGACCCCCAGCTCCTCCAAGGCTCTGGAATTCCTGTAATATTAGAAATGAACTTATACTGATAATATAAAAAAAATGTACCTTTACACATTATATTGCCTTAACCATTCCAGTAGAAAATAACACTCAACAAAAATAATGACACTGGTAACTGATAAGTTCACAGAACACCGAGACTGAGAATTATATTTCATGTTTTAAAATGTTCTTGATGCATTTTGACTGTGAAAATTTCAGTGCTGGTCTGTCAGTCTGTCTTGCTGTAACGTGGTCTCTACCAAAGTGATACCAGCACAGAGAAGAGCATTTTGATCTTTTATTAAAACCCATCCCTCTGGAGTTCCACTCCAGCCATCTGCACTCCTTTAATTGCTGATGTGTTATCTTGGAAATCTTTTAAAGGTGATAATTAATCACGAAGCAGCTTAGGGAGGGCAGGCAGAGGATCTTCAAGTTCTTGTCTTCTACATATTCCAGTAACGGGTCTTTGTGTACCTGGGAATTTGGTCATGAGCCTTACCTGTCTTCTTGGAATATATGAAAATTAAATTAAAAAGAGCATCAACAATTAAGGATCAACAATTAGAATGAGGCTGATAAGAAGGAACTTATTGAACGAGACACATCCTGTAGTTTTTCCTGGTAATCCTTGCTTGTTATCCTGTAATTCTGCAAACATTTTCTGTTTTAGAAATGCAGGTGTAATTGGGGTCACTGGAAGGAATGGAAGGGTTTTTAGAAGGGTTTTTTCTTGGGTTCTCCTCATGTTTTCCCCTTTTCCCATTAGAGGATTTGCATGTGATTTGAGATGGGATTTGTCTTGCCGTAAATTAACGCCCTCGGTGTCTGCCCACAGAGTTTACAATCCATTCCTGTCCATCCCAGCAGGAATATTGACACAGGATCCATCTCTGGATAACACAGGTTAGAGCAGGAAGGGGAATGTTCTCCCAGTTGCTGATTTTCACAGCTGAATCCTGAAGGGAGCTGGGATTTCTCAGCATTATGAAATCCAAACCTTTTTGTGGAGATCCACTTACAGAGCAGGACTCGAAGCTTTGGGAGGCCACAGAACAAAAATAACCTCCAGGGCTGCACCTTTTTGTGGGGCAGAAGTGAGCACAGATGCCTTGGGGAAAAGCTGATTTTCCTGGTGGATGCAGCTCACCCCACGTGGCTGTGGAGCTCACAAGATCCTGTGTGAGCAGCTCGGGGCTCTGGGTTCTCCATCTGCTTTTTACTTTAGGAAAGAGCTAAAAAAAAAAAAAAAAAAAAAAAAAAAAAAAAAAAAAAAAAAAAAAAAAGGCAAAGCCAGTCCTGGGCACAGCAGCACAACTCTGCAAATTTAGGGGGGGTTTCATCTACAACGAGCTCTGGGGGCTCTGGTTGGACTCAGTTCCAGTTGCTGCTCGTGGAGATTCCTTGCAAGGACTGCATTTTGGAATTTGCAAAGATCATGGACACAGCCCTGTCATTGCTGCTCCTGGAAAAAGGCTAATAAATGTGATTTTCTGCCTGGGGAGTGGAGCGCTGGCATTCACATCCTGCCTCAGAAGGGGCTGTGTCTTTATGCAGTTTGAGAAAGAAAGAAAGAAAGAAAGGACGTGAATTGAAAATTGCACCTTTCAGTAGGGAAGCAAAGTGGATTTTGGCCTCCTCAGAAAGAAGTTTTTACTGATCCTGATACCTCAGAATTCTGCATTTCAAACTGCAAAATCCTCCTGAAGAAGGAAGAGACTCAGAAAAGCGGCTCAAGACAGTAAGTCAGGACTTACTGCAGTTACAAATGAGGGCAAATTGGTGATGATGTCTCTTGGTGAAAAAAGACACTGGTTCCTTCTGCCTTCCACCTCCAGACCAGAGCTGAGAGAGGCTCTGAATGTCTCCAGAGAGCAGAAGCTCCAAACAGCAGTGTTTGCAGGACACTCTTTTTTCAGGGACAAAAGCATTGCTTGAAAGTGCCATGGAGAGTTCTGTGCTTTAGAAAGAAGACAGCCAGCAGTAAAGCCCAGTTTTATGAGAACTGAGAGATAAAGTGGGATGTCTGATACTGTAAATGCCTCTGTAAAGCACCAAAAAGTGCTGGATAATAAGGAAAAGACCTGAAATCCTTCTTTGGAAGGTTTGACATCCCCTACTTAACATTGCTCTGGTAAAATCTGAGAGCTCTGACCAATTCTGTCCCTTCCTGCTGCCCTCCCCTTCTCCCTTCTCCTGCTTCAAGATGGATCTGGAGAGAGATTTTTTTTTTTGGTGTGAAGGATTCCTGTGTCTGGCCCAGTTTGGGAGAAGCAGAACATTCTGTGCTTGGAGCACGTGGAGAGGAGATTTAAGGTGGCAGTGGCTCCTGTGGCACCTGCAGGGAGGGGGGAGCTCCACCCATCTCTTGAGCCACACAGAAAATGCAGCTGGGACAATTCAAATCACTCTTCTGTTTCAAAATCTCCTCCTGAAGAATTCCTGAAAAACATTCTCCTGAAGAATTTGGGTTTTAAAGGGAGTGCCCAAGACCACTGCTTGCTCCTGCACCTCACAAAGAACTCTTATCCATGAGCCTTGAAGGTTTGAATCACAAAATTAATTTACCTACTGCAAAAACTCTGCAAGTGTAACGGGTGCCTACAGATTAAAATAAATCAGAAGACAAAACCCAGGTCCTGTACATAAGTGGAATATCCTTTTAGGTATATGTGTAAAAAGAGGTGTGCTTTATTCTTAGAACTAAGTCTCATTCAGGCAAAAAAATTTGAGAAGAGCCAGATTCCACAGGGCCTGGCATCTCATTCATCTCTTATTCCTTTAAGCCTTAATGCTCCTCAGGATCAAAAAAGATAGAAATGCAGGAATTAAAAAAATAATGAAGGGCAGAATGGAAGCTATTATTAAACCATTAGGTGAGTCAGTCCCACCTTCACATTTATACACTTTATATACAGTTCCAGCTCAGAGATAATACCAGGAGATAAAAAATTTACGTTTAGAGGTGGTCTAGGGTTTGATGGATTTTTTTGATGTATCATATCATGTATGGCTGATGGGAAGATAATAAGTAGGGAGTGACAATTCACAGGTTGTTAAAAGAAATGCCACGAAATCCTCACGTTCAAGAAGTGAAAGGAGTTTGTTTTCCATGCAAATAGGATTGTCAAACAGACTGGCAGAGGTTAACGAGAAAGCCACAAGTAGAAATAGAAAGGGAGAAATGAATTGGCAGGAGTAGATGGGCTCATCCATTATTTTGGATATGGGATAAATCTTTAATCTTCTTTTGGAGTGGCTATTTTGGGTTAAACAGACACCTTTTGCCCTGCTCCAGGATCCAGCACATTCACAGGGAGTGTTAATTGGCAGCTAAAGAGTTCTTTTTGGTCAATAATAATGTTAAACTGGTAAAAACATAACATGGAGCCAGTTCACTGGTCCAGATGGGTTCAGGTCGCTCTGCACAATAAAAAAAAGGAGGCTTGGCCTACTCTGCAAATTTCCATGGGTTTAATCCTGGTAATAAAGATATGATCATGTTTGATTTATGAGCAGGGGAGTAGTGCCAGTAAATTCTGTGGTGTAGCTGCAGTTACACTTGGAAGAGAAGTTTGAAATCTGCTTTTTTTACTGTGCTGGGTTGGGACAACCCAGCTGTGTTCAAAACCTGGGCTCTGTGGTAGCCAGTAAAACATGCTGTGTTCTCTGCAGCTTTCTTTAGGGTTCTGTAGCTGTGAAAATGCACCTACGAGTAGCTTAATTTATTATAAAGTGCATTTTTAAAAAATACACACTCTCAGTGATATTATAATACAGAAAATACAACGCAAGTTTGATTCAGGTTAAAAATGTGGATGCAGTGTGAATTTTATGAAGAAAAAAACAAGTTTAGACTGATAATGTCACATTAAAATAAGAGATGCTTTGTTTTATAAACTGGATTATTGTAGTTTCTTCACTGAACTTGGTAGTGTGAGAAAGATTTGATGTTACAGAAATCTGGTGAAGCCACCAAACCCTCTTGCTTCTGTTTGTGGAGGTGTGTGCACTCCCACCTCTGCAGTGCATGAAAGCACCTTCCTCTGGCCTTCTTAAAATGAGGAAATTCATATCACGTGTTTGGACATCTTTGGGATCGTCAGAAATCCATCGGTAAACTGGTGAATGTGCCTTGCTGTGAATTGTGGACCTGGGGACCAGGACTGGTGGCAGTTGGCATTAACAGTGGGAAGATAAAAACTGCTGGTAGTTTCAGGATCACAGGATTGTTAAGGATGAAGAACATCTCTAAGAGCATCTAAAACACATCCCAAAGTGCCACATCTGCACATTTTTGAACACTTCTAGGGGATGGTGACTCCTCTGGGAAATCCTTGAACCTGCTTGTCACGACCGCTGAACTTTTCCCCAGGAGTGTTCCCTCCTCCTTCCCACTTGGCTCCTGCTTACAAATCACAGCACAGAAGCAGCATTTTCTCGCCAGGATCTGATTTCCCAGCTAATCCCACTGAAGGATCTGGTTGCTTTGGCCTGGAATGGTCCCTTTTTTTTTTTTTTTTTTTGTCCTGCAGTTCCTTATCTGTGATCCCTGTCATCCATCTCCAGTCTGGGGTTATTTGCACTGGAGTCTCTTTTCTCTGTTTGACAGTGTTAAGTAGCATTTAAGTGTGTTTATTTTAAGGCTTCTACACAAGAGCTGTGAAAAAGAACCTTAATCTAAATAAAAATCGGGGCCTGTAGTTTTTGCTTTTTAAAAAATAAAAAAAAATCACTGATGTTTATATGATGTAAATGCAAAGGAATGGCGCATAAATCCAGTTAAGTGTGGTTTAATATCTCTTGTGTTTTTTTTAAAAGATTCATGCATCTCTTTGGCTGTACTCCAAGGACAGATCCGGGCTCGGGCTGTCAAACAAATGGATTTTGAACGGCTTTCTGTGTAGTTAAACCTAGTTTGGAAGTAGCTGCAACTTGAAAACACTGAAGTGCAGCAGCGAAAATTAATTATGCTCACGTTGCATGGGTGTACCTTTGCCTGTGCCATCCTTAGTGGCATCCAAACCAGCTCAGGAAAGCTTGGTTTGAAATATTTTTGTGTTACACATTCAGGTTAGGAGAAATTCTCAACTGTTTGTCAGGGGTTTAGAGCGGAGATTTTCTGTGCCTCAGTTTTGTGGTTGCTTAGGTAAGACTCGTGTCACACTGGGCTCTTTAAGTTGATTTTTATAAAGGATTATTTTTTATGCCTCCCTTCAGCTCACTGTGCATGATGAGGTGACCCCTCATCTGAGGTGACTGCAGGAGGGACAAACTCAGCTGTTTAAAATTCTTCAGCAATTTGTTGACTTTAATAAAAAATTTCTACATAATTCTCCTTGTCCTTGGTGGTTTTTTTTAATCATTGCCAACTTTTATAATGGCATTTTAAGGCTTAGTACCCTTAGAGCTACAGGAAATGGTGTTCAAGAACGTTCCAATCTGAACCAACCCCCTTTTTTTTGTTTGTTTGTTTTTATCTTTTTCTTCCATTTGTGATTTTTTTTTTTTTTCCCCTCCCCCAGGTATTTATGTAAACTGTCAGACCAGGAGCTACGTCAGAGCGCAGCCAGGAACATGGCAGATCTCATGTGGAGCACGGTGAAAGAACCCCTGGACACGGCCCTGTGTTTCGACAAAGAAAGCCTCGATCTCGCCTTCAAGTACTTTATGTCTCCAACTCTAACCATGAGATTGGCTGGCCTGAGTCAAATAACAGTAAGGGCTTTTTTTTAAAAATATCAGTAATATTTAGGATGTTTCTTGTTGGGTTTTAGGCTTTTTTTTTTTTTTTTTTTGAGGTGTGGAAACAGCAGAATGCTCTTCCGAGGAGGAAATTATAGTGAATTTATGGTGGATGTGGGGATCACTGAGAGCCAAGTGCAAGGGGGTGGCTGAGTCCTGCACCATATGGAGCTGTATCACATTACCTGAACAATTGTCATGCTGAACAGAAAAACCCTTATCACCACGTTTTGGGACAGCTGTGTTGAAGTAAAGCCCCTGGAGGGGGCAAAATCTGTTGTTTAGGAAGGTTTTCAACGTGTTTCCATTTTTTACCTTCGCAGTGTGTTGATTCTCCTGCAATTAACTGCTGCTTTGTGTTGTCCATTTTCCTCTTTGTTTAGTCTGGTTCTCTCTGCATTAATTAGCAGAAGACTGAATTGAAGAGGTAAATATAGAAAATAGAAAAAAAAAATTAAAACCAAACTCCCCCTCCCCATTTTTCCCTTTCCCAGGGAAATGCTCCAGGTCACAGCAGGCAAGACATGTTTGGGCAACCTTTGTCTGTCAGTTCTTCCTCCATGTGTGTTATAAACATGGAAAACAGGAGGGCAAAAGGGAAGTTTTTGATTCTTCTGGGCCTTTTCACTTTTGTGTTTCGGTTTTGTTTTCTAAACTCATTTGGCCTTCTCTGTTCTGGACAAGATATCACTGAGGGACTCTCCTCCTAAATACAAGTTCACTTAATCTAGATTTTACTCCTCACTGTATTTATAGATAAAAGTACTTGCAATTGTTTTAATAAATGGTAATTTAAAGTAGCCTATAAGTGCTCCCAATCATATAATTGCTGGGTTTTAACCAAAGTAAATATTCCATTTGCACAGGGATGTGACCTCTCCTAAGTTCTAAAGAGAAGTCTGTGAACTCCATCCACTCAGTGTGATTGGTTTTAAAATGAATCTTTAATATTTACTTACTTCCAATTACATTATATTTCAATTTCTAAAAGTAGTTCCCTTTGGTTTTATGTGATTCTCCTTTTTAACTACCAGTGCATGTCTTTGTGTGTATCCTGGCCGAAAGAAAGTCTGAAAATAAGGATTCCTTAATTGATTTATTTATTTCAGGCACGTTGTTTGTTTAGGGGAATGTGGGATTTTAAGGAATTTCGTGTTTTCATCAGTTATGATTGATAAATATTACTGTAAAAGTGAAAGTTTTTAATAACAGACACATATTACCAGGACCAGAATTTTACAGTGTTTTTAGACTAAGGCCAATAGTTTTCAGCTTGTAAAAATGGAATATTGGATGCTAATAACTTACTGAGGCTTTTTTTTTTTTCCCATGTAAATAGTCTCTAAAACTACTCTGGAACACTGAGACAATTTATTCTTCTTTCTCCTTCAAATCCTAGGAAGTTTTATTTTTGTTGTTACCTTGTTTCTCTTTCATTTCATCTCCCAGTCATCTGTTGAGGTGCTTCAGCTCCAAAATCCCCAGTTATCTCTCTCCTTTTCCCTCACAAATAGGATTGTTTGTTCTCCTCCCACTTAGGAATATGTGAAAATGAACCCTCAGAACTGACCGATTCTAACTGATGATAACAATTTCTTCATTAAATTCTTTCTGTGTTTTTCCAGTGACTGATCTATTAATAATTGTGTAATCAGGCTCTGATGCCTCATTATTTTCAATGCATATTTTCAGTTTGGTTTCTTCCAAACAGGTTTTTTTCCCGTGAAAATTGTTGAGATTAAAGAGGAATAAATCTTTGTGTAAAGACTTGAGAAGATCCCTGAGTTCACCTGAATCACTGAGTGGCTCCTTTCAAGGAAGGAGTAAATATTTTGACAGAGTTATGCCACAAGTTTAATTTGAATTTCCAAAATTCACCTTATCGTGCCTTGAATTTTTTCGAAAACAAGATGCCAAATAAGTTTTATTCCATAATTTTAAATATTTTTAAAGATACCACGTACATGGGAAGAATTTTGATACTGAGCCATCTCTATGTCTGGAAAGCTGATGCTGAGGAAAGAAGTGGAAAAAGAGATGTGGGAATTTTAACAGGCTTTTTTTTCCCCCCCCTTATCAGTTCAGACACCTTTGAAAGCTTCATTTTATATAAAAATATATGGCTTTCATTCCCTGCTTTATTACTTTCAACACTGATAATGAAATGTTTGTTGGTGTAGTAAATGTTGCAACAATTGTGAGGCTCCCCCTAAAACTTCAGTTAGCAGAGTGTGTTTGATTTCTGGAGCGGGTGGGGGTTTGTAACATCGTTTAATAGCTTAAAATTAAAAATCAAAATTAAAAAAAATTAAAAAAAGAAAATTTATCCTTGTTCACATTCCTGTCAAAGCAACTCATTTAAAAACATTTAAAGCACCACAAAAATCCGTTTGCTGTCGTGAACGCTGTTTTTAAACGTAACAAAACCACCTCACCCAACGCTCCGATAAAATTGTAATTTTTTTTTTTCTTCCTTTTTTCCAACCGTAGAACCAACTTCACACCTTCAACGATGTGTGTAATAACGAGTCCTTAGTTTCAGACACAGAAACGTAAGTAGGAACCTTCTTCTGAATCCTTCAAGTGTGTGATGTGATTGCATTTCTTCCCTTGTGTTGTCAGGGATCATACCCGGTGGGGAGTGGGGATAATTACAAATGTTCTAATCAGGGAGGGTTAATAAATGCTTAGAAATGGTAAATTTCAAACATTTCTCAGCGTTTCTGGACTTCTTTGCTGTGTTAAAACGTAGAGCCAAAGTGAGCTCTAGAAAAATGTAGATGCTGAAATAATAAGTACCTGTAATTGTGATGGATAAATAAGAGCCAGCTAATTCGTATCCAATTCATACCATTTTTGCCATCTTCTCATTTCCCTGGATTATATTTTTAACTAAGGCTTGTCTTGCCCTCGTGGCTCCCAGAATTGTTACTGGTTTTCTGCAGAGTTTGTGAGGCAATGCTGCTGTTTCCTTTTCCCAAGTCCTGATTTCTGTAATTCAGGTGTACTGAACAGTTTTAAAGGGAATTTTGACAAGATTTACCTGTGGGATTGTATTCCAATTTTTTGTAGTGACTCTAAACTTACTGTTAGAACTGTCTGGAATTGAACCCAAAAGATGTGTTTGAGTAGTTGAAATAAGTGTTCTTGTGGAAAGGGAGGCAGAGTGTGTAAATTTTACTCCTGATACACTGTTTTACATTTTACATTTCTCTTTGGGGGGTGATGCATTCTTGGTGTTTACCTTGAGGGCCACAGGCACACACACACTCTCTCCACTATCATTTGAACATGAAAATGTCACAGCAGCACTGCTTGATTTTGTCTGGGTGGTTTTATTATAGATAGCTCTGTTTTAATGTTGAAATCTCACTGAAGTCACACCCATGGAGCGAAATCCGTGCTCGTAGGTTGGTATCTCAAACACAAAGAACCGGAATCCAGGGCAGTTTTGCTTCCATCAAGATGTGAAAAATACCAAATAAATAGCAAATACTGGGTTGGGGACGTTTGCAGCGTTGCACTGCCAGTTCATGGGGTGTTCTGACACTGGGGCTGACAAACCTGGGGTTTCTCCAGTTCTTCTCTCCTTCCCTCACGTTGCAAATCTCAAAGAGAGGTGATTGAATCTCAAAGAGAGGTGTTTCTAACTAATAACATCACCAAGAAGTTATCCCCACCACTTACACCTGACAAAAAGCTGTTGGGAGTTTCTGTGTCAAATGTAAAGAAAAAGAAAAGTTAAACCCCCGTGGAAAAAGAGAAGGGTGCTTAAACTCCCCTGCAGAAGAGGAGATGGACCGGGCAGGAGCATCAGAGTTATTTTCAAGCTGAAGGAAATTGTCAAATTCTCCTTTGGGATATTACTTTCTTGGCAAGGGCATCTGTAAACAGCCTGTCATTTGAAAGGAATGCAGCAGGAACAGAAAACCTTCTTTTCTACTTTTTGTAGCATGTGAATATTTTTTTTTTTAAAAAATCAGGATTCCAGTCGTTCTGGGGTTTTATCAAGTGTTGCTGCTCTTCTTCTGATGCCTTTTGGAATCACTGATGTCTTCCAGCTAAATAACAAGAAAAGCCCCAGTGAAGGGGATGGGTTAAACCTCTCACTTCTCCAGTTTGTTCACTACAAAGCTTCCCTCTCATTCCAGCCCCTGCTCACGAGAGATTTTTTTTGGATGAAAAGGCAACTTTAGGGAGTTGGCAGGGACTGAATGAGCAGCAAAAGGAAAGCTTTTCATTCTTTAGCTGAGAAAGGAAGCCTTAAGATTTATTTTGTACCTTTTCAGCCTCTGCAGATTTACCAAAGGAAGACGTTTTGCATTGTGTCTGGTCCATGCCCATTGCATGTTTTGACTTTTCCAGACGTGTTTGGAACTGTCAACCTTTGGGATTTCTCCTTCTGTATCTTGCTAAGGTGGGTTTGCAGGAGGTATCTTTAAAAAAAAAAAAGAAAAAGCAAAAAAAAAAAAAAAAGAATAAGCTTTCAGGTAGCTCAGCTCTTTCCCTGTTGGTTGGAATTATAATCAGGATTTTTTTGGCAGATGTTTTCCTGCCTCGTTGCACGTTTTTCTGTGCTGGGCCAAGATAAAGCATCTCCTGTCTGGGCAAACACAGGATTTCACAAATGGCACTGGGAAGCAGCAGAAAGCTCAGCAGAGGAGTCTTGTTTTCTACCTCTGGGTGTTTGTGTGTCTTTTTAGATGTCACTTCCCTGCCTTTCTCAGGATTTGAGGCTCTGTGGTGACAGGATATGAGTGGTCCAGATGTGGGCAGTTCTCAGCGACTCAGCTTCTCAGTGTCCCTCAGAGATGCCCTTTCAATTTAGCTCTTCCTGGCTCTTAAGGTAGAGCCAAACTCTTCACAGTTTGAGCTGCTGAAGATGGGAAACCTGCTGAGCTTAAAAAATAACACTGAACAGAAGAATCTTCAGGTCTTTGAATACGTCATTCCTGAACCTGTTTTGCTGATGTTGATGATGGTGCCTTTCAGGAAGTGAAAGATTGGTTTTTTTGGTGCTATTTGGACCACAAGAGGAAAAAAGGTTGTTTTTCCCTTAAAGAGGACGCTGCCAACTTCTGGAAATACCACGTGTAAAGGGATATTTTGTTTTGCTCTTGGCTTGGCAGGCAGCCAGATGTTTGGGTTTCGGTTTTCAGCTTGAGATGCCTTCCCTCCTCATTTAAAAAACTTGATTACCCCCACTTAAAGAGCTTCCTGCAGAGCAATTTCAGGTGTCCAGCATTCCTTCCACCTGTGAGCAGAAAGATCTGGACTATTTCTTCCCCTTTCTTTCCCTCCCTCTCCTTTTTTATTTATTGAGATACTCCACTGCAAGTTTGGTGTTGCTTTTTCCCCTTCACTGCAGTTTCCTGCCTTGTGTTAACTCTTGGCTTTCTCAATTTTTGTCTGAGCTCACCAGCTGAGTTTTGGCAGCATCATTTAAACACCTCTGTTCCCCGTTGCAGGGATCTTTTCAGATTTGCTCTGAAAAATAAAAACAGTGATTCCCTTTCCCCCCACCCCCCCCCAGCTTCGTGGGGAATTGCCTTGGGAATTGCCTGGTTGAATAAATAAGTTTTGGTGTTTTGTTTTTTTTTTTTTTGGAGGGGTTATTTTGCTGTGGGATTTGTTTCTGGATCTTGCCTTTTGTAAGTGCAGCTCCCAAACATCAGGTTGGATCCCAAACTGCCCAGCTCCTGCTCTCTTCCTTTGCAATCTCATGGAATGCTTGAGGAAACCACTGTCAAAAGGGCTTGAATTTCATTCCTTGGAAGCAAACCAGTTATTTTTTTACAGACATGAATTACCAGTGAATTTGCAGTAAAAAATCGAGGGGAGAAATGGAGTAAATGTTGTGGAGATTTGGAGACAATTAAACCAGAGTAGCTGCTACATTTAACTTTGTATTCTCTTCTGCTCCTCCCTCACCTCAGCACAGACCCACAGAGAGTATCAGGTTCTTTAGATGACTTTTCCTCTTGCTATCCAGTTATTAAATCCATGAAAAACACCTCATCCATCTTCCTCCCAGGGTGAATTTTCTTACTCTTAAGCTCTGTGTGATTTGATATCTAATTTGTAAAGCCTCTCATGTGAGAGGAAAAAGCAAATTATACTTTGATCATAATGCAGAAATTCCACTCTCACCGTTCCCTTCGACGGGAAAGAGGGGACATTTTTCAGGAAAACCTTTGCTGAAGTGGAAGTGTTTGGGAAATAGGTCAGACATCCTCCATCTGCACTGAAATCAGTTTTTTTTTTTTTGGTGAATCCTTGAGCAAAACACTTAGTGCTGGTACCGACCTGGTCATTGGAAAAGGTAAGCGAGCGGTGTGGCCTCAGCCAGACTTTCTGGGAGGAACAATTCTCTCTGGGAAGCACAAAGGCTTCATTCTGCCTTTCACAAGGATCCTCTTGTTTTTTTGGCCAACAGAATCCATATCAATTGAATGTTTCCCCTCAGGAATCTGAGATGCCCAGCAGGATGAAGAGTTTTTTACTGCTGAGAAACATCCATTAAAAAAGGCATTTCTTCAGGGGAGTTACCCATTGCTTTTCAGGGGGAAAAATATTGTGGATTAGAGGCAGAGAACTGTCAGAGTAATTTAAAAAAAAGAGAGTTTTTATTCTCTCCTGTGGAGGATCTAAAATACAACACGTGACTGGATGTAAACCTGTTGGCTCAGGTTTTGATAGTCAGAAATCCAAGCCCTGGGTGAGTCTGGGATGCTCCAAAGTTTAGTTTGGGAATCTTTTGGGTGATAGTTGGGGTTGGGTTTGGTTTTGAAGTGAGGCTGGGGGAAGTAGATCTTGGATTCATGGAGCAGATCCAGCTTATCTTTCCAGTCCTTCTTTGGGCACATCCCCAGAGTGAGAACTGGTGGATTAACAAACCATCAGTGCTACTGTTGGCAAATGGTTATCCTTTCAAACCAGTTACTACTGAAATGTTAGAGGATGTGATCTTTTTTGACCCATGGAAGAATATTTGATTCCCAGTGTCCTGGAATTAGAACAGAAAAGTGTTCATCCAGAGGGATCAGCCCATTCAAAACATTTACCCCTGAACAGTGAATCCTGTTTGGAAAACCTGCAAAGGCAATCCCATTTTACCTCAGGAGTCTTTATTTTCTTCGTGTGGTGGGTGCTAAAGATTGGCAATGCTGGGCTTTTTAATAGTGACCATAAATGTGCCACATTATGGTAAAAATGTGGTAAAAATAACTCTTCCTCAAATCCTGGAGGAAAACCCCTCCCTCCCATCCTCCCTTCCCTGGAGAACAGAGCGCTGTTATTCCAGAGCCATTTACACCCCAGGCCGAGCTTTAAATGCTCTGATGTCCTTTTTAATTGCTTCTGGTGCCAAACTCTGGGTAAACAAACGGTTGCTTGCAAAGGAGGAATAAAAAGGAGCTTGTGCACCGGTTTGCAGGCAGGACAGTCCTTTCTGCAGGTTTAACTTTTGTGTTGGAAAAGCCGGTTCCTTGCCCAGTCCCAATGTTTGCTTATGGGGAAAAAATTCCCTGTTGTTCTGGGTGAAGCAAAATGAGAACTGGGAAGTGCCTGTGTGTAAGTATGACCACGTAAATCAGAGTTTTTTAAAGCTGTGTGAGTTGCTGTTAAGGTGAGAGAGTCTAAAAATACCTGAATGGTTTGCTTTAAAAAATAATTTCTGTCACTGCCCCTTTAGCTGCGTGTCAGTGGTTCTGGAATTTCATGATTAACTTGGATTAGCAGAGTGAAATCTTACCTGTGAGGTCTTTGGAAGTGGTTGCAGGTGGATGAGTATCAACTAATAAAATGAATAAAGTTGTTGCTGATGATGCTGAGGGGCGAGTGGGAAATGTTAATATTTGGTATTACAGCCTTCCAGCTAAAAAAAATAATAATGCTGAAATAATTTGCTTCCTGCTCGGAAAAATGACCATTGAATAATAGTTTGTGAATAATAGTTGAAGAAAAGGTTTTGTGCACTCACTCCCACTGCAGATGTTGACTTGCAGGACGTGCCGTGCAAGGGAAGGGCACAGTGGAAATGTTTCTTACAGGCAGATCATTTCACCTGTTTCCACTCCTTTTTCATCTCTAGGTCCATTGCAAAAGAACTTGCGGACTGGCTGATCAGCAACAACGTAGTAGAGCACATTTTTGGACCAAATTTACATATTGAGGTTTGTAGAAATGATTGGTTTTAGTCGAAACCGGGAGGAGTCACTTCTTGTCCCAGTAAATCTTCACTATGTCCTCACTTTGCAGATCATCAAACAGTGCCAAGTGATCCTGAATTTTCTTGCAGCTGAGGGCAGACTTAGCACTCAGCACATCGACTGTATTTGGGCTGCAGCACAGGTGGGTAGAAACTTTAAAAAAAAAAAATAGAAAATGGCAAGTTGATTTTATTTGGCCCTCCTAAAGTCGAGTTTTTTGCCCTTTTTTTGGCTCTCTCGGTGTTTTGCTGCCCAAAATTTCAGGTTAGGCAACTAGCACAGTTACTGGGTTATTTATTAGAGGCAAAAATCCACCTTGGCTGCTTTTATAACAAGGGGGAAAATGAAGCTGTGTAGCAAGGACAGGGTGTTTTCACCGAGAATGGGGGGGGAAGATTGGAGGGGAGCTGTAATATTTTTTACTGTGGTGTTAAATTGCCTTCCTCCTGTGGATTGGAGCTTCCATCTCTGTTCCTGCTGGTGGGAACAATCAGGTGTAAATTGTGGCAGTGAAGTTTACAGCTGTGCTACTGAAATCTGTAGAAGGCACCGAAATTTTATTTATTTTTTTGCTTGCTAAACCTGGGAACTCTCGACAGGCTTTTTGCCTTCAGGAAGATTTGTTTGGGTGCTGCTTTTCCTGGGTTGCTGTGCCTTTTTATTTCAAGTTGTGACATTTTTTTGTTAAGGGGATTTGAATACAACAGACACTTTGATTTTTTGGGAAAAAAAAATAAAATTGTACTTTTATCTGAGTATCAGAGTAATTAACAATTCCTTATTTCACTTATACTTTTAAAACAGCTTTATTGCCTTCCCTGATGAGCTCACTCTAGGTTAGACCTCTGAATTTTTAGTATATTTGATACTAATTGAAGAATACAATTACCTAAATTCAGGGATTCTTTTACACTTCACATTTTGACAGACTCGATGTTTTCAAATGATATCTTCGATTGCAAAATTAAATATATCCTGATTCCTCCCTGTCAAAGGTTTAACCTCTAATGTTATTCAGAAGGCAGATACCTCTAGGCTTAAAGAATAGAAGGTGTATTTTCCACTTTTTAGACTAACTTTTGGACCAGAATTTATCTTCCTTATTGAAACACTTATCTCAAGATGTTTAAATGCATCCTGGTGTAGAACCCCCCAATGATTTGGGGATTCCAAACTCCAGTTTGGATCCTGGGAAAGATCCCACCCCCACCCAAATTGCTGACCGGGATATTTTAATGCCAGGAAGGCAAAACAAAATGAACAATTTTTAAAGAAACCTTTAAGAATTCCTTCTAGAAGCTTCTTGTAACCATTATTTTATTTTTTGAACACAAACATTTTCGAAAAATCCCCTTCTAAGTGACTCTGAAAAGAAGTAACCAAAGAGGAAACATGTAGGAGCACTGTCACTTTAATGTGTAAATGGAAGAGCTTGGCTAAACACACTGTCATATTTTTTGACATCCATTGCTGGAAAGACAAAAGAATTATTTATAATCCTCAACAATTCACACAGTCTGTTCTCTGAGTGTCATATTGGCCTCTTAATGCCTTATCTGTGTTTACCACTGCTAAGAAGGTAATTGCCAAGACTATTTTCCCCTCAGGATTTAGCAGATAAACTTCCTATTTTGTAAGTTGTGTTTAAGTTATATTTAAGTTAAATCCAAAATAAACTCCCAGTTCTTCTTTTCACCAAATCCTGAGAGTTCAGGTGCTGTTACATTTGATTTCCCTAAACTTCTCAGGGTCAAAATTAGCTCAGTCCATAATGGAGCTTGGAATTTTTGGGATGAGCCCTTCCTGAGAACTTGGGCAAAGATGTTTAATTGCTGCAATTTTGCCACTATTTGATTTTTTTTAGTTTGTTTGTTTTGCTGTTCCCGTGACCTTCTCTGTTTGTGCCCTGCAGCTGAAGCACTGCAGTCGTTACATCCACGACCTGTTTCCTTCTCTGATCAAAAATTTGGACCCTGTCCCACTTAGGCACCTCCTGAACCTTGTCTCAACTCTCCATCCCAGTGCCCACACCGAACAGGTAAAGACAAAGCCACCAAAATCACTGCAGTGAGAAAAGCAATGATGTCAATCAGTCGTGATGGATTTGCCTTCCTGAAGGAAAGCAGTAAAAGGAATATTCACCAATGCAGAAACTACAGGACTAAAGTTGTCATGTTTTTCCCATTACCCCTTTCCTGGCTTTTGAATTATAATCTTCCGAGATTTTTGAACATTCACCACCGCTGGGGGAAGATTTTAACTTCTCTCTGAGATTCACCCGGCGTTATGTAGTTAATTTATTTATTTTGACTGATTTATTTTACTATCTGCAAAGATTTAACGGTGAATCTTTGTACCCCAAACCTCCTTAATGCCACTGTTGCCTGGTTTTCTTTCCAGACCTTGTATTTGGCATCCATGCTGATCAAAGCCCTGTGGAATAACGCCCTAGCAGCCAAGGCTCAGCTGTCAAAACAAAGCTCCTTCGCATCTTTGCTCAGCACCAACCTGCCCATGGGAAACAAAAAAGGTTCGTGCTTTTCCGGGAGCTCTGGGAATTCCGGTGGGAATTTCCGCAGCCTCCTCGTTGAACTTTGGGCACAAAGCAGGCGTAGAACTTTCTCCTTGAAGGGTTTTGTAAAAGTGGCACGTTTTCCAAGCAGAAATGGAGGTTATAGATAAAAGCTTTAAAACTTGGTGAGTGCGTTTGGGAAGACTTTCTGCTCAAGTAGTATTTTAATTTTTCCTTAATTCAGCAGATGGTCCGTAAGTCATCAGTGAACTGTTGTTGTTCCACTGCGCATCTGTAACTAGCCACATATAATCTTCCAAAAGCTTATCTCCTTTCCCCCTGGTTTTTGGTATCACCTGCTATCTCTGGTTTGGTTATTTTGCATTTCCACACGGTCATTACTCTAAAGGAACTTCCTTCTCCTTTCCTACTGCTGATTTTTATGAATCACGAGCAAAAGGTTTTTAGTCACTTATTTTTCCATCCTGCTTTTTTTTCCTTCAGAAGAAGAGGAGCTCAGAAGAGCAGCCCCTTCGCCTTGTAAGTAGAGTTTTAGAAATAACACCACAATCTGATCCTGTTGATGCTCCAGTGCTGTTTGATTTGAATAGAACAACTAGAGAAAATCTGAAGTTATGCTTTTATGAAAAACCAAATGAAAAGTCTAGTTTGTGTAAAATGTAGGAAATTTATACAACTGTTATATACTGGCAAAGAAGAGACAGCAATATTCAAACTTTGTATTAAAATGCTCCGTGTCCCAAACCTAATTTTTAGTGTTTAGGTGCATGGGTTGCTTGAGTTCTGTCCCTGTTTGCTGGAAGAATGCTCGACCCTTGAGGCAGATTTATGCAGTGCTGTTGCATCCCAGTTAATATCCATCAGGAGGTAACTGGGAAATGTGCTTTTTGAACCAGGGTCACCAGCAGCAAGCCCTCAGAGCAGTGACAACAGTGACACCCACCAGAGCGGAGGCAGCGACATTGAGATGGAGGAGCAGCTCATCAACAGAACAAAACACGTCCAGCAGCGGCTTTCGGATACTGAGGTGACAGTGGGAATCTTAGCCTGGCAATTTGGGTACTCAGCTGCCTGTTGTTAGCTGTGGAAGTGATTTTTTTTTTAGCTGTAGTTGTTTCCAAACCACCTCAGACAAAGGTTTGGATGAATCCCTTCGTGAGGGATTGCAGGAGATTGTTTCTCTGTCACGTTGGGACTCTGTGCACCTGTAAAGCCTGCACAGGTCCCTCAGGTAATTCAAAAAATAAGTTATTAAATCTGAATCTTGCTCAGAGCATTTTGTTATTGGCAGCCAAAGTGAGGAAGAATGAATGAAAACTTGTAGATTTGACACATTTCCTCATAATGGAAGAGCGGTGTTGGAATGACGTTAGCTATGCATTTCCAGTGGTGGTTTGTTTTTTCCACCAATCTTTAAAAACAAAACCCCCAAAATAATTGCAGGAATCCATGCAAGGGAGCTCTGATGAGACAGCCAACAGCGGGGAGGACGGCAGCAGCGGGCCCGGCAGCAGCAGCGGCCACAGCGATGGCTCCAGCAACGAGGCCAACTCGAGCCACGCCAGCCAGTCCGCCGGCAGCCCCGGCAGCGAGGTGCAGTCCGAGGACATCGCCGACATCGAGGCCCTCAAGGAGGAGGACGACGAAGACGACGACGAGCGGAGTCACAACCCGCCGAAAAGCGGCCGGAGCGCCGATCTGCGGGGCAGGAAGCTGGAATCGCAGGCGGCCATCTGCCTGGGGGACGCGCCGGGGGCGGCCGAGAGGAGCGGGGCGGCCGGAGGGGCAGCCAAGGAGCACGGCGTGTTCAACGCCGAGCAGGTGCCGCCCGCCGACGGCCGCATCCGCATGCTGGACGCCTGCGGCCACAACGAGGGGCCGGAGCACGACATGGCGGGGGACGTGAGCGCCGCTCACATCGCCCAGGGCTCGCAGGATTCCTGCATCGCCCACACCGGAGACTTCCTGGGCGAGACGATCGGAAACGAGCTGTTCAACTGCCGCCAGTTCATCGGGCCGCAGCACCACCACCACCATCACCACCACCACCACCACCACCACCACGACGGGTAAGGCATCTCGGCGTTTCTTCGGAGTCCTTAAGTTAAATTCAGCTCCAGAAATTCAAGTGGTAGCAAAATGTCCCGTCTGGGCGGAAATTTTTTGTGGGCGTTTTGCTGGAGCTCAGGAGAATTCTGTCTTACGTGGTCAGTGCAGATGGTTACACAGTAAGCTGACTTGGTGACACCTGATGAAAGCTTTCGGTGAAGTTTTGGTGCGGAATAAATAAGGCAACGCTTAAAAACCGTTAAAATTGTGGTAGATGCTGTATTTGGTTAATATTAAAACAATCAGGCCGGTGAGACCTTCAGTTTCTCCATGATGTGTTTTCTGAAGGTCTGCTGTTTAAACAGCTGATTCATTCTGACTTTGGCTTGAGGGAGATGTCTCCTCACTTGCAGTTTGCTATAAACAACTTCCTCCTTGATATTGTCCCTTCTGATATCCATCTTTTCCAGGCATACGGTCGATGACATGCTCAGTGCAGATGATGTCAGCTGCAGTAGTTCTCAAGTCAGCGCAAAATCCGAGAAAAATATGGCAGATTTTGATGGGGAGGAGTCTGGCTGTGAGGAAGAGCTTGTGCAGATTAATTCACACGCTGAGCTCACGTCTCATCTCCAGCAGCACCTCCCTAACCTGGCCTCCATCTACCATGAACATCTCAGTCAAGGTAAGGCTCATAAAAGGAGAACTGAAAAACTTTGGTTTATAACTTTGAATTAGGGTCCTAGAATTAAAATAATCAAATTATTTTAACCATTTCTATGTATTTGTCCAGAGAAACCGTGATGAGTGCTGAGAATTTACTGTTTCTCCAAGAGATTAATTTTTGTATGTTTAGTTGTGTTTATCTTTTAAAATCTCCCCTCCCCGATTTCTGCTGCAGCTTCTCATGTTAAAACAACTCAGAACCCAGTAAATGTTTCTTTGAATAAGTTAATAAAGTATAAGGAAAGGGGATACTGAAATGCAAGATTTTATTTTATTTTCCTGTTCTCAGTTGTTGTTCTGGTTGGTGGATTTTACTGTGGCTCAGTACATTGGTCAACATAAATTAACCCATAAATGAATTAACCGTGATGGGCTCTAGAGAAGATAATTCTGGGAAAAGGGATTAAAATACAACCGGATATCTTTGGGAGTTTGCTGTAAAAGGCTTTTTATGCTGTTTAATCCTACACTGCCAAATCATCTAGTTTAACTTCTGGGTGCAATTTAAGCTGCTGCTGTAGCACTTGTCAAGAATTAGATCATTTTTCCATATGCTTTATTTTCTCTTTCTCCTCTTTTCAAACATGATGGTGAAGGTCTGACGTTTTTCTTCACCAGCCTGGTAGAACCAAGTTTGCTGTTGTCCAGCAGACAGTAAACTCAATACTATATTTATGTATTTTCCTGAAACAGTTGAGTAAGAAATCTCTTACAACGAGAACTTCAGCCTGACATTGAAAATCTGGATTTTTTTTTTTCTTCTCCACTGCAGGGTTGAATAAACTACTAAAACTTTGTAAATCTGTAAATCAGCCTATTCTTTCAAATTTTTTTTTGCACAGATATTACTCAATGATGCTCATCCATCAGGCCTTCAGTGCAGATTTTTTTTGACACCCCTGTTTTGCACGTGCAAATAATCACAGCCTTAAATTTTCTACTTGACTCTGCCACCTGAAAACAGCATCAAACAGTGGAGAAACGAGTGGTGCCAGCTGTGAAAAATCTGTCAGTGCTTATGAGAACAGGAGGAGTTTCTAAAATCCTGCACTTTGATATCCACCATGTGTAAAAAGGGGGATTGTTTCTCCTGGTTTTTAGGAGGAGGAAATCGTGTCGAATGAGGGGAGTTTATTTGAAACGAGCTCATTTCTTGCTTGGTGCAGATAACTCCCTTGGGACCACAGCACCACAGAAAGGCTTAAAGAATAATTGAATTACACTGTGAATTAAATTACAGAGCAATTGTATTTGCAGTTCTTGGGTGCTGCTTTTCTTGCACTTTGCCATTAGCCAGAAGCAGTGTAAATATTGGCCTGACTGCCCTGGTGGCTTCTTGTAAGGCCTTTTAAGAGCCCAAATGTGGAAAAAAAGGCTGCAATTACAGCACTTTAAAATAGCCAAGTTAACAACTAAAATGTGTTGTTGTATGGGCACTTAGGCAATAATGGTCAGTTTAGGTGGTGCCTTCAATAATGTTCTTTTTATTTTGTTCAGGACCGGCGGTTCATAAACATCAGTACAACAGCAATGCAGTGACTGACATTAATCTGGATAATGTTTGTAAGAAAGGAAATACCCTGTTGTGGGATCTGGTCCAGGATGAAGATGCAGTAAGTTCAATACCAGACAATCCCATTTTTTTTAAAAAAGAAAATAAATCTGTGGTATTCACTGGCCTTTCTTTGTCCTCGCTGTAGATTCATCTCTCTGAAGGGTTAATAAATGAGGCAGAGAAGCTGCTCTGTTCCTTGGTGTGCTGGTTCACTGACAGACAGATCCGAATGAGGTTCATTGAAGGCTGCTTAGAAAATCTAGCAAACAACAGGTAACTTAAATCATAAATTATCTGCTTTGACAGGTCCCTGTTTTCCTGACGTATCAGAAATTCAAGCTGGCTCCAGCAGTTATTTCACTTTACAGGAAGACAAAAGCAGAAGAATAAAAATAGTTTCCAAAGTGTGTTGTGGATGTTGCTGATATTCCATTTTCCCATTCCCTGGGTGTCCTGAGTTTCTCACCTTGTTGCATTTGTCTGTTCTCCCTTTCTGGGCATCACCTGCAGCGTTGTGTTGTTCCCTGTTGCTGAGAAGTGAATTTGTGGGATGAGTTGCAGGCACACTGAGATGCTGATCTGAGCTGTGAGTCCAAGGTGTTAACACGGAAAGAATTTGAAGTGTGTGTAGCTCAGATTCAGAAAACTGCTTGGTAAATTAATTCCACAAGCAGGGGAAGGACATGGTGCTGTTGGAGAGAGTCCAGAGGAGGCACCAAGATGATCAGAGGGCTCAGAGAGTTGGGATTGTTCAGCTTGGAAAAGTGAAGGCTTTAGGGGGACCCAGCTGTGCCTTCCAGCACCTGAAGGGAGCCTGCAAGAATGATGGAGAGACACAATTTACAAGGGCCTGGAGTGACAGGATGAGGGGGAATGGCTTCCCACCCAAGCCAGTCAATGATTCTTTAATTTACAGGCAGCCTGTTTGATCCTCAAACCTGAGCTTCTCTAACTAATTTCTCAGTTGGTTTTTTTTTTTCCATTTTGTAACAATCCTGTAGTGTCATCATTTCTCTCTTTCTCCTCCAGATCAGTTGTAGTTTCCCTTCGTCTCCTCCCAAAGCTCTTTGGGACTTTCCAGCAGTTTGGGAGCAGCTACGACACCCACTGGATCACCATGTGAGTAGTGATGGCACTGAGGGGACTGCAAGAATTGTCCCTTCAGTGGGGCCCAAACGTTGCCAACCTGAGGTTCTCACCTCACTGCTTTTTCTCATCACTGAGGCCCAGATTTCTTCATCATACAACTTATTTCTTTGTAGTACAGCTGCTGTTGTAGCTGATTTAGAGACTGATTTATATTTAAAAAAAGAAACCCAACCTTTAAATCCCAAAGGACTTGCAGCAAGTGCTAGAAAACCACCAGTAACATGTGCTAAAAGGTATTAATAACTTGGTGTTCCATCACTCTGCTCTGAGTGTGTCTCAAATGCTTCTCAGGAATCAAAAACTTCATTTATAAGGAAACCTTTGACATTTGAAGGTACCACAGTACAGCATTTTTTGCTAGAACAAGCTGTAACTGGCTGGTCTAAGTGTAGAGAATGGTCTGGTGGAACTTCTGGTACAGATGACAGTGATTATCAGCAATTCTTCTTGGCCTTTTGGACATGATATTTAAATACACACCCAGTTCAGAGTTTTGGCTTAGACTTTTTCTGAATTAAGGCCTTTAAGAACAGGCCCTAAACACTCAGAAGGGAGTGTTCTGTCAGTCCCATGCCTGAAAATACCAACATTAGGAAACCTTCTGGATTGCAGGGAAGAAGAGAGGACTGCACTGGAAAATACCCCTGAGTTGGTGGGAGATGGAAAAGGGGATGTTTACTTTGGCTTTTACGTGTGTGCCATTTCCCTGTAATAACTGTCTGCTTTCCCTGGCTCTTGGGATGTTTTTAAGCAAACCATGTAATTCCTTCTGCCCTTTCAATTGCCACAGGTGGGCAGAGAAGGAGCTGAACATGATGAAGCTTTTCTTTGATAACTTGGTACACTACATTCAGGCAGTCAGGGAAGGACGGCACAAACACGCCCTGTGAGTACAAACCAGCTTGAAAGGGGTTAATATTTTAGGCTTTTGAAACATTTCTGCTTTCTTCTGTTGCTTCTGATGTCTTCTTGTAAGTGAATATTTTCTGCACGCTCGGGGAGACAAAGATCTGTGAAAACAGCAAGATTGTAAATACTCCTTTTCCTTGAAAAAAAACCCTCAGTAGCCCTTGTGTAATTTTTGTTAAACATCACGTTGAATGTTTGTGCACAAATAAAACATGAAGGTTTTATTCAAACCGATTTAAAGTGATTTCATATCGTAGAACTAGTCAAGTATTTTAGTGTTCAACCTGTTCTTAACCTTTGCATTATTTTCTGTTTACCAGAGTCACCTGTGCTTTCTAATCTGTGTGATGTAAATTAGGTGTGTGCAAACAGACAATACAATCTGTAGCTCCCCAGTCCCAGAGGAATAGACTGTTGGTGTTTTGACAGATGACAAAGTCAATGTGGGCATCCACACTTGAAAAATGTTGCTATTTATGGGTCCAGTTTGAGTTCTTCATACCCTTTCATGTTAGGCATTGCTCTGGTGAGGAATCACTTAGAAAGCTGCTTGAAAAGGGGATGAATTGCTTTAAATTCAGGCAAAATGATACATTGCTCTGCTCCTTTGACCGTGTAAATAGGAATAAAGTTAATATTTTTATATAAGTTCTGAAAGTATTTTTAGGAAGAATATGTATCAGCTGGAATTGGAAGTTCAGTGTAGAAATATCTGCGTTTCACAAGGTAGGGAAAAATAAAGTAGATCCTGCAAGGTGACGAAACGATGCACTTTAAACTAGAAATTCAGAAGGAAATTTGTAAGAAACAATTATTTTTGTTTCTAAGAGGCACATGTATGAGTGGGGGAAAAGCTATGGCAATAAACCGTGAAATAAAGTTCCCTTTTTATCCCAATTTCCATGTAGGTACAGCCACAGTGCAGAGGTTCAGGTCCGGCTGCAGTTCCTGACGTGTGTGTTTTCAACCCTGGGATCACCAGATCATTTCAGTGAGTGTTGGGGGTTACTTCACCCCAGAAACACCTCCTACTGAGGCAAAACTTAAGAATCAGTGTTAGCTTAAATTATGTGTTGCTTTAAACATAAAATTTAAAATAACCTCTGATATTGTCTCAAAAGAAATTTCATGTGTGTTTATGGGCTTTGGTTCCTGGCCATAATGTTCCCAGAGATCTCCTCCTGGACTACTCTAGTCCAAAAAGGAATAATTCTTTTAATTTTAATACTTTCAAAAATTGGTTTACACCTTTTACAACTGAATCTTACAGGAGAATTTTTGGGGGGTATTCTCATTATAGGTAGTCAGAGTTGGCATCCACTGCCTGGTTTGTCCCTCTGGTCACTAAAGCACAGGAAGGAACCAGAATATCTGTAACCAAAAGAAAAGAAATTGTCACCCCACATTTGCTCTTGTTGATCAGATAGCCACAATTCTTTTTGAAAGAGCTTGTTCAGATCACAAAGAACATAAACCTACTGTTCTCTTGAAAGGAGAAGCAAGGAAATAGGTACAAAAATGCTGTTTTCAGCCCAGTCCCAATGCCCAGCTGAGATCTGGGGTGTGAATTGTGCCCAGTAATCCCCTGTGAACTTCACCACCCTGTGTGAGATCCCAGCTCAGCTTGACCTGATAAAAACTATTCAGATTTTTTTGTGTTTTGTGGTATATTTGGTGCTGTTTGATGCGATGAAGGAGTGGTTACAAATCCTTCCCCGGCTGCAGGGTTGAGTTTGGAGCAGGTGGACATCCTGTGGCACTGCCTGGTGGAAGATTCGGAATGTTACGACGACGCACTACACTGGTTCTTGAACCAAGTCCGCAGCAAGGACCAGCATGCCATGGGTATGGAGACCTACAAGCATCTTTTTTTGGAAAAGGTATGTAGGGAGTTCATTGCAACCTCACAAATCCAATGTTTCATTCCAGGTCAACACTTTTGTTGACGTGTCAATTATTTAACGCATTTATAGTTGGGTTTATGCCTCTCTTTTTGGGAGGGGGGCCTGTAAATCTCATCAGAACATCCACTGAAGGCACAAACATGCAGCACTGGAGCTTTCTACAAGGGGTCCCATCCATCCTTTTCAAGAGATGACATTGCAGGATGGATGGACTGTGCAATAATTAATGTAGGCTGGTTCTTTCTCAAGGTTACACAGGCTTTTTCTGGTTTGGGACGTGGATGAGTCACATCACCTATTTTAACAAATTATCCTGCTTTGATAACTTCAGCAACTAATGCTAAAATAATTTCTCTTCCCTGTGCACTGTTACAGTTCAAATCAGCGGTGAAGAGGCTTGTTTAAGCCAATTAATGTTGATTTGTTTTTGCATTGTATCTAAAATTCAGAGTGTGATCTTCTAGAAGAAGATACGATCAGTTATAACACCCTTTTTTTTTCTGTGCTGATGAAACAAACACCCGTCCCATCACCGAATTTCTTTTCCACACTCACGTTGCCTTCATTTTCTTCAGATGCCACAGCTGAAACCCGAAACCATCAGCATGACCGGCCTCAACCTCTTCCAGCATCTGTGTAACTTGGCTCGGCTGGCCACGAGCGCGTACGACGGGGGCTCCAACTCCGAGGTGAGGCTGGAGCTGTGCCCGTGGGCTGCTCCTCCATGAGGGAAGGGCAGCCTGGAATCACTCCCCTGCACTGCCAGATTGAGATCAGACTGGCTGGAATATTGTGTGGAGTGGTGGGAATATTGGGTGGATTCCCACAGTGATGGGGTTTGTGCAGGTTAAGGCCTTCGGGAGCTCCCACGTTCCCAAAGTGGGACGATGAAGTGGAAATAAAAGACCAGCAATCCTCAACTGGCACATGGGGGTTTTTGTCTCTAGTGACAGAGATAAGAAACCACAAAATAAGTGATACCTGTTGCATCTCTTTGTGCAGTTTATCATATTCTTACCATAACTGAACTGCAGCCACTGTTTTATTGGGTTTGTAACATTTACTTCTCTAATTCAGAAGATTCAGATGAGATTCTGTCAGTCATGTTTAATTCTGACTAGAATTCTGTTGTAAAATACGTCTCACTCTCTATGATGTGATCTGCAAGTTTTTCTGCTGTAGTTTCTTACACAGAGAAACTGTCTCAGAAAGAAAATACAAAATACTTTTCTCTGAAGTGATTTCAGGCAATTTTTAAATTTTTTTTTCTTGCAACAAACACCAGTTATAGTTGTGGTTTTAAGGCTTCCTTTCGAAGCATTGCAGTTCCTTAAAAAATGAAAAATTCCCTGTTTGGAATTTTAACCAGTTCCCTTCGTGCTTCAAGCTTTGAAAATGTTTGTTTGTTTTCTTCTGTCCAAGCAGTTGTGTGGCATGGACCAGTTCTGGGGCATTGCTTTGAGGGCCCAGTCTGGGGATGTCAGCAGAGCAGCCATCCAGTACATCAACTCTTATTACATCAACGGTAGGAATCCTCATTTTCGGTCTCGTTTTTATGTTTGGAATGTTTTAAGGATTGTCCAGCTTCATCGTCTTGTTAATTGTCGGTATTAAAACACCAAAATTGAGTCTGTCATTTCCTTTGAATTGATCTTCCAGGTAAAACTGGTCTGGAGAAGGAACAGGAATTTATTAGCAAGTGCATGGAGAGCCTGATGATTGCTTCCAGCAACCTGGAGCGAGACTCTCATTCCAGTCTCACCATCATTGAAAGAGGGCTCTTAATGCTGAAGACACACCTGGAGGCCTTTAGGAGGAGGTACAAAGCTCTGTTGAGACATTTGGGGACAGAATTTCTCTCTGTTCCTCTTACCGTAGTGATGAACGAGTTAGGAGTTGTTATTAATTTACAGAGTAGTAAAGACACAGGGGATAATTGTGAAAGGTGTAATCTGGATGGTTCCTCTCATTGTTTATCAAAGAGCTGTGTTAATAGGTATGACAAAAATAACATTTTCCGTGTTTTTACCTGTCTAAGGTTTGCATATCACCTGAGGCAGTGGCAGATTGAAGGCACAGGCATCAGCAGCCACCTGAAAGCCCTGAGTGACAAACAGTCCCTCCCTCTGAGGATTGTGTGTCAGCCAGCGGGGCTTCCCGACAAGGTGAGGGAAAGCCCTTCTCACATCCCATCCCTGGAAACCCTCAGGCACCGGGGAAAACAAACCACTTGTTCTCTTGCAGATGACGATAGAAATGTATCCCAGCGACCAGGTGGCTGATCTGAGGGCTGAAGTGACACACTGGTATGAAAACCTGCAGAAGGAGCAGATCAATCAGCAGGCTCAGCTCCAGGAGTTCGGCCAGAGCTCCCGCAAAGGGGAATTCCCAGGTAAGCTTGGAGACTCCTTTTGCCCTTGCAAGAACTTGAATGAGGTCTTTTTCTCCCCCAGATATCCTTAAATAAGCAAGAATTAGGATTTATTTTACTCTTGTTTTCTGTAATTTGGAGGTTCTGTTGCCCAAAACTTGATCGAGTTCTATATTTTTATATATCTGATTCTGATTTTCATCAGCTTTAGACACTTCTGGCTCTGCCATCGATTCAGAATTTGAAGCCATAATTTAGATTAATAATTTATACTCTACATACATGTATTCCGGTCAGGTGTAAAATTTTCCTTACTCCTGCAATTGCTTTTTAATTTATGGTCAAAAATGCTCATTCATCCTGTTTTGACTCTCCCAATTTGGAGTGTCACCTTGCTCCTCAGATATCATTGCTTGCTCACGACAGTGAACATGCATCCTGTTGTTGTTCTCTCTTAATGTGTCTGTGAGTGAGTGAAAATTCCTGCTTTTTATCCTTTAGGAGGAGGGCATTTTGTAAATCTTATTGATGGTATTGATTGATACTGTAATTCTTATCAGTTGTTGCTGTTCAAAATGTTCTCTGAATTATCTTCTCTTCAGTGTTTTCGTAAAAATAGAGGCTGGATTGTCTGCACCAAATGCAATTAAATTCCTAATCATGTAATTATTCAGATTTCCTGTTTGGTGTTGGGAGTTCTCTTGAGGATATTCCCAGTTTTACCTCTTTTGTTGCACGACATCTTTGGTTCCAACTGACATTTAAGCAGGTTTAGTCATTGTTTCTTTACCTTTATCCCATGTGTGTGGTACAGAAAGGGGTTTTGTTGATGATCACACTCATTTTCCATTCCCATCCGTGTCATGGTGTAATTTACTACCAAATATGGGAAGGCATGTTTAAATCTGTTTGAAATCTGCTTAAATCTGTTTGGTGAACACTTCTCACCACAAGATTGGGTGACTTCTTGCTGAAGAGATTATGTCTGAGTACGTGCAAGTAAATGTAATTTAACATAATAAGTAGTTTTCTTGAGGAAGGTCCATTAATGTTTTGCTTCATGTTAATTGCTGCTGAAGGATGTGCTATTAAAAATCCAAAAATGGAAGAGTGTGATTGCAGAATTTCCCTGAAAGAAGCTTTTCTCCCAGGTGGCCTCATGGGACCCGTGAGAATGATTTCATCGGGGCACGAGCTGACAACGGACTACGACGAAAAAACGCTTCATGAGCTGGGGTTTAAGGACATGCAGGTACTGCTGGGCCGTAGATCGCAGTCCCTGGGATGTTGCTTTTGTGTAGATGTATCTACAGTGGGTGTGAGCAATATCTGGGGTGATAACAGTGAGTGCAGATACCCCGTGAATGCCTCAAGTGACAGCAAAGCCAAACTGCTGGAAACGCTGCAAAGTAAAGACTCGACAACAAGATAGCACTTGATCTTTTACATTTTTAATTATGATCCTTTTGGAAACATCCCATGGCTTCTCCTAAACTTGCCTCTTGTTGTTTGCTTGTGTCCCAGATGGTGTTTGTGTCCCTGGGGGCTCCCAGGAGGGAGCGGAAGGGTGAAGGTGTCCAGCTGCCGGCGTCCTGCCTGCCCCCCCCTCAGAAGGACAACATTCCCATGCTGCTGCTGCTGCAGGAACCTCACCTCACCACCCTCTTTGATTTGCTGGAGATGCTTGCCTCTTTTAAACCTCCCTCTGGAGAAGTGGCAATGGAAGATAGTGAGGTAATTTAGAATAATTTCATTAGAATCATCACCTTTAAGTCTTATTTAATTGGATCTGCTTTTCCTATCTAGGCTTCTTGTGTAAAACCAGTTTCTTTACTGTCTCTAAAATCACAGATCCCATATGGTATAATCATTCTGATTTTCCTAACAGCATTGTCCTGATACATTTTAAAAGGTCTAAATATTGTAGAAGCTAAAAAAAAAACCCAAGTAATTCTTAAGAAAGAATATTGATTATTTAAGTGGACATGGTGACTCATAATGGGAATTGGTTTGAAGAAAGGTTTGCAAAGGTTCTATCGCAAAAACTCAGACTTTGTCTTATATGCCATCATTAGCTTGTGGAAAATAAAATAATATGTGGTATATTTGAACCAGTACTTTCTTTCTAGGTTTTATTTTCACCCAAACATTTCAAAATAAGTGATATGCACGCAACTTAGTTCCTTACAGGTTCAGTGAGTCTTGAACTGTCACGTTCTAGTTATGCCCTTAAATAAATAACATTTTGGGACTTTTGAAATGTGATTTCCTCCAAGAAGTTCCCCCTGCCAATGGTTGTTGTGTGGTTTGTCAGAGTGCAAGGTGTGAAGAGCTCCATCTCCACGCTGAGAACTTATCCAGGCGTGTCTGGGAACTGTTGATGCTCCTACCAACGTGCCCTAATATGTTGCAGGCATTCCAGAACATTTCAGATGAGCAGGTGAACAACATTTTCCATGTTTTGCTCTTTGTTCCCCGTGGGTGTTTTAGCATCTGGTGTTTTAAGCTGCATTTCCCCTGAAAGGGGAATGGTAAATGGTAAATGGTTTAAGTGTGCCAGGACAAGAGTAAACCCAGTAAACAAAGCTAATAATTCTTATAAAATTAAGCTGAACAGAGATGTCAGCTCAGCTCCCAGCGTTTGTTTTTATGATCTCTTTTTTGGCTCGAATTGAAAAAAAAACAGTTTCTTGATCAGCAGCTTTGCTTTAACACTGGCTCTTGTGATAGTGCTGCTTTTGTACTCCCTTCTGTAAATGCCCAGCGTGGTTTGATTGGGAGGCTCTTTGATTTCTTTAATTGTTTGCTGTCCTTTTTTTTGTTGTCTTTGAAGGGTAATGATGGCTTTAGCTGGAAGGATCTTTTGAGGATAAAAAGCGCCCATAAACTTCTGTACGCCCTGGAGATCATTGAAGCTTTGGGAAAGCCCAACAGGAGAATAAGACGTGAATCTACGGTGAGTTTCTGGCACAGAATATTTGTGTTCCTCTGAACCAAAATATCTGCTGAGGAGTTATTTTTATAGTATTTTAGTTCTACTTTTACATTTATTTGTTCTTCTTTATCTTTAGGGGAGTTACAGTGATCTTTACCCAGACTCAGATGATTCAAGTGAAGATCAGATAGAAAACAGTAAAAACACGTGGAGCTGCAAGGTTTGATTTTTCTACCTTCTTCTGTGATATCTAATACAGTTTCTTGAGAAAAATTTAAGATGAAAACCCATTTAAAACATTATCTGTGTTAAAGTATTGGATCTCAAATTTAGGCATAACTTTAAAAAGTTTTTTTGGTGTTATCAGGCCTGTAAATTTGTCAAAAATATCCAACTGAATAGCTTATCATTTATTAATTAATCTATAAAGCTTAGATGGGTATATAAATGAACTTAGTGGTATTTTTGTATCTGCTTTTTCTCCCTTTGGTTCCATAATATACTTACAGTTTGTTGCTGCTGGAGGGCTCCAACAGTTACTGGAAATTTTCAATTCTGGAATCTTAGAGCCTAAAGAACAGGAATCATGGACTGTGGTAGGTGCTCCTTCAGCCTTTATCTCCACAATAACAGAATTGCCATTTGTAAAGACTTTTATTACTTTAAACCTTTGTTACAGTCACTTCTGTGTTGTAAATGCAATAGATAATTCTGTAATTCAACCACCAGAGTCTCTGCCATAGCATCTTTTTCTTCAATATTTTCTATTCCTGGAAGAGTTGACTTTAAAAACCAAATTGTACTTCTGGGTTTTTTTTACATTTTAAAAGCATCCTTTTGGATTTTGGTTTGGTTTGGTTTCTTGGGAGTTGTTTTTTTCCTCCATTCTTAAAATTGTAAACCATAAAATTGTAGATCATGGAATCTTAGGGGGGAAAAAAACTTGGATTCCATCTTACAGTGATTGCAGCTGCATTGATGATACTGTTAAAGAAGTCAAAAGTAGCCAAACAAGAACAGAGTATTTTTGCCTTTTTATTCTGCTCATCTTAGGGGGAAGATGGTTATTTGGAAACTTCTTTACTATAGTCTGTGATCTGTTAATTGCCTTTCTTTCTGGAGAGGCCAAGAAATACCATTTCCCCTTGCTGACAATTAGCATTGTGGCTGTGTTGTAATAAAGACACTTGTCAATAATAAGCATGATTATTAGTCATAATTATATATCCTTTTCATTATTATCCTGTTGCTAGTTCGAGCTAAATTCAAATTTATAACTTGATTAAGCTTCCTTTCGAGCATTATTGCTGAATTATTTACAAAATCAACCCCTCAAACATGAAAATTCCTTTTCCTTCCGTTATTTTAGTGGCAGCTGGACTGCCTGGCCTGCTTGCTGAAACTCATCTGCCAGTTTGCAGTGGATCCCTCCGACCTGGACCTGGCTTACCATGACGTGTTCGCCTGGTCAGGAGTGGCCGAGAGTCACAGGAAGAGAACCTGGCCAGGCAAGGCCAGGAAAACCACGAGCGACCACGTCAAGGGCCTGCACATCCCCCGCCTGACTGAGGTGAGAGAGAGGGGCACACCCCTTGTGGAGAGAGAAAATAATAGATAGAGTGGAAAAATGATTTGTTTTAATTGGTATCTTGCTTGTTCTCCTCCGAAATGTATTTGAATTTACTTAAACCTGGGCAACCAAAAGGGTTCTTGGTGGTTGGTGGGGACTCAGAATTCCCGGGCTTTTTGTCCCTGTTTTTTTAGGTTTTGTTCTCTACATTGGTTACTTTTTATGGTACCCTCTTACAACGTGGTTACAGCATGAGGTGTCCCCATCCTCGCTAAATCCAATTTAGGAAAACCCTAAAATAACTGAATTTCTCAGGAATATCTGAGTGAGCATGTGGTGACCTTACCTAGAGCTGTAAACTTTCCCCCCAGATCCCTGCATGCTGATTTCCTAAAGCAGCCCAAGCACATGGCATATTTTGGCATCAGAGATGCATTCACTGTAAATAGATTTTCTTGGGCACAGGAGCAGCTGTGATTCCAGAAAGTGTAGATGTAGAACTGGGAGCTGGAGCCAAACTTCCCATTTCTGATTGTTCCACGTGGAAAGACCTTTAACTGGTCTAGGAGTATTGGCCATTTTTTGACAAAAAAATGCACCAAAGCCGCTGTCAGACAGGGAAATTATCAAATGTATTAAAATCCTTAGCACTGCTGCTGTTGGTTCCTGTAGCTGGTTCTGAATTTTTAATTGTCAATTGATTCGTATTTCTGATGGCAGTGGGGTTGATATTTAAGTGGTTTAAGATTTTTTTGAGGCTTGGATTTTAAAATTCTGGGTAGCCTGTCAGGTTCTCTAAAGATGAATAATTTAACTGAATGTGGAGTCAATAAAATGTGTTGATCGCAGAGATGGGCAAAATTTACGTGTCCAACCTCATCTCATGGCTGAGATTTTTAAAAGAAAGTGAGTAATTTGTGCTTTAAGAAAAAAAAACAAACCAGTGTTTTTACTAAAAGGATTGAATAAATGGTTGGTTTTTCTGTTCAGTTGAATTGTCTTTCTTAGAGGAACAGCATGAAATTTTAGCATCTAGACCTAGTCAATGAAACACAGGATTTTAGATGGGCTTTAATAAAACCTCTAAATTAACTGTGGAGTTGCTGTGATTTATCTTTGGCTCTTCCTCCCTCTACACAGGTGGGTTTGTTTTAGATTCACACACTGTGTATTATTGTTAAAAAAAAAAAAAAAAACAGATCAAAAAAAAAAAAAAAAGCTTGTTGTTATATTAACTTGTTTTTTTGTTTTTTGTTTTTTTTCTTTTGACTCCAATTTTTAAAGGTGTTTCTTGTACTTGTCCAGGGAACCAGTTTGATTCAGCGACTGATGTCAGTTGCTTATACCTATGACAACTTGGCACCTAGGTACAACATCTTCTTCTTCTTCTAAAGCTAATCCAGTGTGCACATTGTCAGCCCTGGTGTAGATTAAAAGAGCTCTTTTCACTTGAATCCCCGTTAATTTACCAGAATTGAAAGTCTCAGGGAGTAGATTTGCTTTTCTTGGTCACCTCCTGTGGTCGTCCCGCCCTCGGGGCTCAAGGAGTGGAGCACTGAACTATCTGTGAGGTGCTCTCAGAAATTCTCAACCAAAGGGATTGGTTTTCCTGGCTCCAGAGCAATCAGCATTCCCAATTGCAAGGGGGTAGAAAGGAGAAATTGGAATAAATTCACTTTTATTGCTGCTCAGTCGTCCGCTGAGTTCGACTTCTCTTTGCCGTCCCTGCTGGAATTATTGTCCTTAGTGAGTGGGCAGAATTTGACCTGTCAGATTAATTCAGATAATTCAGAGCACTGCCAGTCAGGTCTGCAAGTGTGCCTGACTTTCACCTGTAGCTGAGTTGCAGGAGTAATTTTTAAGTATCTAACCTTTTATTGCAATTAATAAAATTGTAAGTAAATAGAAATATTTCAGGTTTACAGCTGTGGTTTCTTTATGAAGAGTATTGGGTTTCTTCTATAGGAGTCAGTTCTTAGCTCTCTTTTTTGGGGTTATGGGTATTTTTTTCTGACTGTTAATCTTGTAGCCAGTAAATCTATAAGGGGGGGACTTGAGGAATTTTGTAGTTTTATTATTGAATACTGCCAGAAATGAACCCTTTTAAGATTGACAGCTAAGTTCCTCCTTTTAAGATTGAAAGTGTAGTTGTCCCAGTGGTTCCTTATGAATAACTGTGCTGTTATTTGTGATTATTTGTATTTTTTTAAGTGCTGCTCTGTTGTCTTCTGTGCTAAAGTTCAAATGGCTTTATCTTCTTTCCCGTTCAGGGTGTTGAAAGCTCAGTCTGATCACAGATCCAGGCATGAAGGTCAGTGCTGCAAAACATGGCATCAGCTCCCAGTAGGGGAAAACCTACTGATGGTTTTGATTTATTCCTGCCATTAGAATGCTGTAAAACTGTGATAATCCGGGGAAATGTTTGTGTTAAGACACGATGCAAGCCATGAGCAAGGCATCAGCTCACTGCCTGATTTCACTGGTTAAGAAGCAGAGGGGCAGGAAGGGATTGTGCCCTGAATTGGTGATATTTAATCTGATTTAATGGTCATCATCAGTGCAGTGGTCAGTATTTAATAAGCATATTGGTAAAAATCTGCATTTAGGTCATACCTTGTGTGCCAAAAAGGCTTTAAAGTCTTGCACCTCAGCATGAAATAAATGTGGTGTGTGCTGGAACAATGCAACTCTTCCCCCCCACCAAAATCCTGTTCTGTTGCTTACAGTGGCATTTCCCTCCTTTCCTTGCAGTCACTCATTATTCCATGTGGCTGCTGGTGAGCTGGGCCCACTGCTGTTCCCTGGTGAAATCCAGCCTGGCTGACAGTGACCACCTGCAGGACTGGCTCAAGAAACTCACCCTGCTCATTCCAGAGGTACGGCCGAGGAGAGGCCCTGCCATTCCCAATCCCTGGAATTTGGTGAAATTCCTGGGTGATACCACCTGACAGAGATCAGTGTAAATCTGCTTCCCCCGTTATATTTTGTACATCATTAATAGATTTTTTGATATCACTTCTTTTGCCGTGCTCAGAATCACAAAACGAGGTGAGCAGGAATTGACACCAAAATCTTCGTCGTGACCAAACTTCAAGTAATTTTTTTAAGTAATTTTTTTAAGTAATTTTTTTTAAAGTGATTTTTTTCTCTCGTAATCAAAAGCTTGGAAAATGCATCAAGATATTCCCGCTACAGAATTCATGTATTTACTAATGATTGCTTAATGGTGCAAAATGAATCACCACACGATGTGATAATTCTTATCTCTTGCTTTATTATTTATTATTGCTTTATTACTCGAGCAGAGCACGGGAAAAGCTTCCATGCTGACTCCGTGGAAATGAGAGTGTGCAAACCTCCAAAGCTTGATTAGACTGTGGATATTTTTCTTAATAAAAGGAAAAAATAAAATAATTCTTCTAGTGAAATTAAACAAGTGAACCGTGTAGTTAGGAACGAGTAAGTCTAATTCCACCTACTCTTTATTTGCCCAGATGTATTTTCTACTTTAATCACTGCCTGCAATCTTTGAAACACATTTAAAATACATAGATATTATGAGAGGAACTTGTGTATCTATGCAGGAAAAGCCACCAGAAGGAGGAATCCCCCAAATAATATGTGTAATTCTTTCATGGTGCTCTTTTTCCCCCCAGACTGCCGTTCGCCACGAGTCCTGCAACGGCCTCTACAAGTTGTCCTTGTCAGGGTTGGATGGGGGAGATTCCATCAACAGGTCCTTTCTCCTCCTGGCTGCATCAACACTGTTAAAGTTTCTCCCTGATGCTCAAGCTCTGAAACCAATTAGGGTAAGAATTTACAAAATTACGATTTCCCAGTGTTTTTCTCATTTTCAAAAGTACTATCCTCGCAGCGGTTCCTGTGGCCAGTGTGGTTTTGTTAATACAGTTATTTGGGCTGATGTGCCTCAGAACAAAAGCAATTTCTTTTCACAGATAGAGGATTATGAGGAGGAAACAGTGCTGAGACCAGGCTGTAAGGAATATTTCTGGCTGCTGTGCAAACTGATTGACAACATCCACGTCAAAGATGCCAGTCAGGTGGGTTTGCTTTATTTCTTCTTTTAATGTGGATTTTCAGGCCACTTTTGCTTCAGTGTGAGACATTTTTACTTAAGATACAGTGAACTGCTGTGAACAGGTCTTGGATCATTCCCATTTCCAAGCTTTCCCTGCTTTGATGTGTGTTTGGGAGCTCTTGGAAGCTTCAGATGATGAACCTGTAGAGTCAGGAAGGGGGAACAGTGACAATGCACAAAGAACTCAGTTGAAGGTCACACACATGGCAATACTGTAATTATCTCTGATGTATCTTATTCCTTATATATATCTTATGACTGCTGATAATTCCAGTGCTATAAAGGAGGAGCTAATCAAGTGTTTGACTAAAGCTGAAAGAGGAAGAAAAATTCAGTTAATAACCACTGAGCTATCAGAGCACGTTCGAAAATGGCGTTTAATTTTCCTTGTTTTGCTGTTTCAATAACAAAATTTCATCCAAAAGCATAACCATAATTTCAGACTGGGTTTATTCCCTGCAATTCACGAGGTACCTGATCATTTTCCACTTCCATTCCATTTTCTTTGTTTTCCCTCAGACAACACTGCTTGATTTGGATGCCCTGGCCAGACACCTCGCTGACTGCATTCGCAGGTGAGCTTTGTTTGCTGTGCTGATTCCACCTGCAGTGGGCATTGTATTCACTGCCAGTGGGGCAGAGTTGTGACAGTTCTTGCCTGTCTGTGTGTCTGTGCAGCAGGGAAATCCTGGACCATCAGGATGGGAACGTAGAGGACGATGGGCTGACGGGGCTGCTCCGTCTCGCCACCAGTGTTATAAAGCACAAACCCCCCTTCAAGTTTTCTCGGGAAGGCCAGGTAAGAAAAGACCCCTGAGAGATCAAACTGATCTCATCTTTTGTTACTACACACTCTTCGTTTTACCTTTTTTGGCAACATTTTGTTTGCAGAGCTCCAAATCTGAAAATGTATCATATTTGTTATGTTCTTCCTGTAAGGTGGGAGAGTGGGGGGGGCAGGGGAGGTTGCTAAAAAATCCTGCTTTGTGTTTATCTAAAGAAAAAAAGTAAAATTCTGAGGTGTAAAAGCTGATTTAAACTGATGTTTTTCTCTGTAGAGTGTACTGAGCTTTTTATTGGGCCTTCAGTGAGGTTTCATCAAAAATGTAGGGCCCTCTATTCAGTTATGGTGTTTGTATCCTCTGTTTACTCTGTTACTGTAAAATGGCCCTGAAGGTAATTTAATTGTCCAAAAGTTATAATAATATCAACATTGTGCAGTACCTGCCATAAAGTGACATTGCTGCCAGCATTTTCAAAGGCTGCTGCTATCATTCTGCTGGAATAAGTGTATTTTAAGGGTGGAGATCTTGCAGATTAAATTAGAGTAAGAATTCACCGAGTGCAGTGTGGAGGAGGATGTAGAAATTAAAATAGCAGGGGTATGGAAAGGCCAGATTGATGTAGCTTGGATATATAGAAAGTATGAGAAGAATTCTCTGTACAATTAAAAGCACACATTATAAAGAGCATTGGGGAAGAGTTTTTTGCAGTAGAACAGGATTGTGAGAGCAGATGCTTCCCTCTGAGCCAAGGCTGGTTCAAAACTGTCCAGGAAAATCCACTGGCAAATCCATGCTTTGCTGGGCCTTTTCTTCCCTGCAGATTCCGTCTCTGACTGAGTAAACAAAACTGGTGTTGGGCAAATATTTTCCAGCTTTACAGGTCCCATTTTGTGTTTCATGCATAATCACTGCCCATCTTACCCTGCACGCTGGAGCAAAGTGTTTTATGGTTTATGGCCCCTTTTTTTCCTTATTTTTTTAATATTTAACTTTTGTCTTTATTTTAATTATCTCCATAGAAAGAAGGTGCTGATGTTTAGGCAGATCCCTCACAATTTTTTAGTGTATTATCTGGGGTGGTAAAGATAAGTAAGAGTAATATGTATTTATTATCCAAAGGCAATTTGACTTGGTGCAGCCATGCTTTGTGCATTTTAGAGCTCAGTTAATATTCCAAACAGGAAAGAGTACAAAGGATACCAGAAGTACACATGGAATGTGTTGTAAGAATAATTAGTGACCCATAAACCTCCAGCAAGCAGTGATTAAGGTTATGTGCTGTCTTTGTTAAATTAACAAATTAAATGTATTAAATAAATCAAGCACAACTTGTCGTCATTTTTCAGTGGACGTGTTTCTCTCTCTAATGTGGTTACAATGCACTTTATGGGAATAAATTGTTGGGATTGGTAATTCAGAACTTGTATTCAGGTTGGAAAATTCTGCATGATAGAGGTCTAGAAGGTCTTCAGAAGCTTGTAAATAGATGACTTATCTTTTGAGAATACCTTCAAGCTGCTAAATGTGCCGATTTCTCTGTTTCCCAGGAGTTTTTGAGGGACATCTTCAATCTGCTGTTCCTGCTGCCCAGCCTGAAGGACAGACAGCAGCCCAAGTGCAAATCCCACTCCTCCAGGGCTGCTGCCTACGACCTGCTGGTGGAGATGGTCAAGGGCTCCGTGGAGAACTACAGGCTGCTCCACAACTGGGTGATGGCCCAGCACATGCAGTGTAAGCACCTGCAATTGCAGCTGGGGAGGGTGGTGGGGCCACTGCTGCTGGAGTGGCACTGCCCAGCCCCCAGCACTCAGGGCAGGCTCACAGAGCATCACCTGGACAAGCTGTGGGTTTAATCCTGTGTCTGATTATCAGTTCTGTTCTTAAATGGGGGTTATTTAAGGTATGTGACCCTGTTAAATGACACCAGCCAAATGACACCAACACAAGGTGTTCCACTGTTAGAGTGGATTTGACATGCTCCTTCAGCTTGTGCTGGATTTAAATTTCTGTTTTCCCTCTCTAACATGAAAAAACATGGCATGTTTACACCCAAAGTATATAAATAACACTAAGGTAGATGCTTTAGCTCTGGGCAGCACTGCTGTGTTTTCAGAGCCTCTGATGTCACTGCAGTGACCTCAGCCTGTTCCCAGCACACACAGCTAACACAACTTTGTTCTGCCTCTTGGCTTCCGTGTCTTGGAACCACAATTCCATGTATATTGTGGAAATGACCAAAATCTGAAGTTATTTAATATTTCATCTTTGATTGGCAAATTCTCATTGTGTGTTTTTAGCTTGCCAGGTTTCCTTTCACGTGCCCAGGTTAAATTCTTGTGACCTGAGGATTTGTGATGCATTATAATCTGTGGAATTGCTTTAGTGCCTTACAATGTGGGAAGCAAAAGGGAGATTAGATCCTAATAATGTTTTATGCTCTGTTCTCAAATGCCTGGGGCCTTCCAGAGTGTCCTGTGTTCAGGGGAAATGTTATGAAGAATATATTTAATGAAAATACTGGATATTTCTGTTTGCTGAGGTTGTTGTATCTCTCCAGTGCAGTCATTCATTTTTTACATCAGTATTTTCCTCCAAATCCCACTCATTCCTCAGTGCTGAAGTTTTCTTTAACATTTACCACAGTTGTTACCTTCTTCCAAATCTCTTCTCTGGATTGTTTGCTCCTTTTTGAGTCCTCCAGAACCATCTGCTCCGTGTCCCTGCTCCATATCCAGAATATCTCACTGCAGGGATGGTGATTTTATTACAACTGGCAGAGAGCTGTTCTCTCTTTGTGATGAGCAACCAGCACAGGACTTGTGATCCCTCATTTGTTTAAAGTCTTATTGTGATCCAAAGAGTCTTCAAACTGGATTTTTCCACTTTGCTCAGCTCTGTAATCCGAGTCTTTCAAAATCTTAGTCTTAGGCCTGTCTCTCCACTCTCCTTATGAGAAACATTAAAGAAAATATTCTAAATTTCCATCCTGTCCTTGGTTTGAACATATTTTATTAACTGGCAGTTTGTGCAGGCTCTGATATTACTGAGGGTTAGATTTAGTCCCCTCAGTTGTTCATAAAATTTCTTGCACTGTTTCGGAGTTTCACTTTCTTTAAAAACCAATAAAACCCTTCAGGTCAAAGGAGGGAAACAAGAAACAGCTGCTTTGCTCCCCAGGAAACTTAAAATCCTGTCTGGTGTGATGGTTGGAGCAAAAAGCATCATCCCGAGGTGGAATACAGAGAAAAAATCACAGTCACTCAAAGAGGAAAGAATCAGTTTTGCTCTGCTTAAAATAGAACAGGAATATTGCAAGTTTGGTTTCGAGTTTCCCCATCTCTTCCTGAGAAAAGGCTGTTTCTATAACAACAGGGAGGAATAAAGAGGATTGACAGGAATGAGCCTCAGATTTACCTTTCTAGTTAAGACCCATGTGGGAGAAGGAAAAACTTCTATTATGCAAATTAAGACAAATTTACAAAATGCCAGGGTGGAGAGAAAACAGCATCTTCCTGAGAAGTTCCTTGCCCAATTTCTGGATGCTCTTTGAACAGCTGGGAGGATCTTCCACCTCCTTCAACCCAGCTATTTGCTGGATTGAAGGAGGTGGAAGATATTCCCAACTGTTCCCATGGAGTGCAGAAAGCTCAGGTGATTTCCCTGCATTTACAGCTTGATGAGCTCTGAGCCAACCAGCCCAAGAGTTTCCTGAATTTCTCTCTGGTTGTAGGAGTTGAGGAGAACCCTGGAGGAGCCTTTAATCTGCGACAGAATAATTAAGGATTTAAAATTTCAGTCTTGAACCCCCACAGCTTTTATGGATTGTGTGATAAATCCTGTCTGCTTTTTTTGGAATTATTTTTTCTCTCTCTAAACATGCACTTCAGCAGAGGTACTGAATTATTTGCAGCACTAACCACTTACAAATGGTTTGTCTAGTCTGGTTCCCATCTTCTTGACTGGCAGATGAGGAGAACGTTCCCGTTTTCTGATTTCTTGGCTTATTAACAGAGCCTGCCAGACTTGCCGAGCTCGTCTGGTGCCTTCCCGTGGCAGGAATGCATGGCTGTGTCTGGTAGGAAACCTAAAGGAATAGAAAACTTCCAGGAAAAGCAAATATCCTTTTCAATCTTGATTCACTCCTTGATGTGCTTTGGGAAACCCAACCAATCCTTGCAGCAGGGAAGGGATTTTCCTGAAGATCAGGCACGGTCTGGCTCGTACAGAGCATAACCAGGACACATTTGATTGGTGTGAAAAGCTTTAAGAAAGCTTTAAATTGCACTTATGTTTGTGCTGATTGCACTTGGAGTTGATTTTTGATCTCCTGCTTGTGTCGTCACAGCTTCCCACGCCCCCTACAAATGGGATTATTGGCCCCACGACGACGTCCGCGCCGAGTGTCGCTTCGTGGGTCTGACCAATCTCGGAGCCACCTGTTACTTGGCCTCCACCATCCAGCAGCTCTACATGATCCCAGAGGCCAGACAAGCCATTTTCACTGCAAAGGTACCTGGGGGGGCTCCTGTGTCCCTGGGGGGGATTGATGGTGTGTCAAGTGTATGTTTACAAATGAATATTTATCTTGTGCCACCACAAGTACAGCAGGTCCTGTAAATTGCTATACATTGGTTAACTTCTAGAAATACTGTATTATCACTTTCAGTTATTTGTTGTAAAGAGAAAGCTTCATTTTGGTCCCTCACCTATATAATGAGAGGAATATTAGGTTTCATGTGGACCAAAAAAGGTGTAAAATAAATCTAAAAAATATAAGTTTTAAACAGTAGACCATGTGTCCTTGTACAGAATCATTTTGCTTAATTGCCCATAATAAAGGGGTTGGGTTTTTTGTTTGGTTGTTACATCTTTTAATGTCTATTTTTGACATTAAAAGGCGTCTTTTATTCATTTCTTTCAGTATTCAGAAGATATGAAACACAAGACCACTCTCCTAGAACTCCAGAAAATGTTTACATACTTAATGGTAGGTATGAAAGAGGGGTATTTGAGGGATTAATCTGTTGAAGCATTAAGAAGCAGCTAAAATTTGGGATTCCAGGATCAAACACAATAAAGGCAGTTCCCAGGTGTGTTCACTGCTGGAAAAACAGTGAGACAAAGTCTGAAATAATGAGAAAAGACAACTGAGGAGAGAGCTGTGTGCCCTCACAGTGGCTTTTGTATAAGAAATTCATAACTACCTTGAAGACAAGTAGGGGAAAGGAATTTTGACATGCAATGCCTGCCATGAATCATAGGAAAAAAAAATAAATCCAGATATTTACATAAGCAGAAAATAATATAGGAACCTGAATCCTACAGAGATTTACCAATTTTTACACCTTGAAGAAAGACTGTGTTCCAAACCAGGCAGTATTTACAGGAAGTACTGTCTGGCTACACATCCTGACAAGAATATGTTGTTTCCCACAGAGTTCCTTGTGCTGCAGATTGTTGTGCATTCCCAGAGTGCAGGGCAGTGGAAAAGGGATTCTAAAGAATTGCTTTCTACTGCAGATTCTTTTCTCTGGCTAAACACATCCAGTTGGGAACCAGCTGATAATCACAGAGGAGTCATTGAGGATTGAGTTGGCAAATTGAAGTCAGCAGGGTCCAGAAATCCAGAAATCCAAAAATCCAAGCTGATATTCCTCATGTTTTGTATCCAAAGAGATAGGCAGCAAGTGGATGTGTCACATCTTCAGCCAAGGAGCTTTATTTTAATAATTCATTTTAATATCTATCAAGTATTACTGAACACTTTTCTCCCAATGATACTTTAATAATATAATACTACTAATAATGATAATTTCACAGGAGCATTTAGCACCTAAACCAGCTGTTAATAATTAGCATATGGGACATACTGTGTCCAAAATACGTTCTTTTCTAAACAGATAACATCTGTGCAACTTCAAACTCAAAGGATTTGTGCTGATTGGCTTTTGCTTGGTATCTTTTTTTTCCCCTCCAGGAAAGTGAATGCAAGGCCTACAATCCCAGGCCTTTCTGTAAAACCTACACCATGGATAAGCAGCCCCTGAACACCGGGGAGCAGAAGGACATGACCGAGTTCTTCACTGACCTGATCACAAAAATAGAAGAGATGTCTCCAGAGCTGGTGAGTTCTTAAGAGGGAGCAAAAAAGGGAGCTGGAAAACTTACGGGTTTGCTCAAATTTCCTTGACAGAATTTATCGATTCGTTCACAGAAAAACACAGTGAAAAGTTTGTTCGGAGGCGTCATCACCAACAATGTTGTTTCTCTGGTAAGTGTTCCTTTTCCAACCTTGGCTTTTAAAGACTTTCTTTTTTCCTGACGTGTCCAAACAGTTGTTTCACTGCTTTTCTGTTCCCCTGGTGTGCTTTAGGACTGTGAGCATGTCAGTCAGACAGCAGAGGAATTCTACACTGTGAGGTGCCAGGTGGCAGATATGAAGAATATTTATGTGAGTAATGCCAGGCTGAGATGTGGTCACAGGTCACGGCCATCAGTTATAAATGGCAGTTCTAAATTTCCCCCCACACTGTTGAATATTGAATTTTGTTGCATTTTGGCTAGTTTCGAGGTTGATATTACGAGGTTATTTGGTTTCAATGCAATGTGCCCTCAGCTGGGGCCATTTGGCACTGACTAAAGCTTGTGTTCCAGTCAATAATCACTGCTTATTTCTGGGTTTTAAACAGGCTGTGGCCACTTTTAAGGGAGAACAATACCAGTACAACTGCTTATTAAGTAAATTTAAAGCTTACACCAGCATAATTCTACATTTTGACCATTTAAATGTTAATTAAACTTAATTTAAGATTGAAAGGGAGGGGCTTGGAAAGCAAGCCAGAGATACAGAAAGGTCCAAAATAAATGTCAACTCCTTTTTTGTTTATTATCTGTAGGAATCTCTTGATGAAGTAACCATTAAGGATACTTTGGAAGGTGACAACATGTACACGTGTTCTCACTGTGGGAAGAAAGTGAGGGCTGAGAAAAGGTATGAGGAAAAATAAATTACCATTCCTAAGGGATCTTTTCAGTGAGTTGCTGAAATCACTGGGTTGCTCATTATGCAGGATAATTGCTTGGGTTTTATACATCACCTCAAGTTGCCTAATTAAAATTAGCTTTCAAAATGTTTCTATGTCTGCTGATAAAGAGAAAGTAGATTAAAACGTTATGTTGTCTGAATAAACTACCAAATTTCTTCTTTAGAGTTGGAAGACCTCATAGTTTGTTTTTAAATTACATGGGTGAAAGACTAAGCTGAAAATCATTATTGTAAAGTTTATGAGATTGAATACGAGAGATGTTCTGCCTGGAAACTTTTATTTTAGAAGACATATTTGAACTCCCTGCAGTGAGGAGGTTTCACTGTTAAATTCATCCATGGCTCACTGGGGGAAATTGTTGTTTGTGCCATATGAGTAAATTTGACAGCTCTTCCCAAGTACAGTGAGAGCCTAAATCGAGTTTTTCAATGAGCTCAGTGTGACCTTTCTGCTGCCAGTTAATCTGCTCTGCTCTGGGGCACGGTGAGAGCTGAACTTTATATTTATGTGACACATTTGTATGCATTTATTTAGAACATATCTCCAATATTCGAGTTGAAATAAATGCTTAAAACCTCTGTGAGAATTCACTTCACCCTGCTTAGCTTTTGTCAACCAGAATTATTTCTGCTCCCTCAGGGCGTGTTTTAAGAAACTACCTCGCATCTTAAGCTTCAACACCATGAGATACACGTTTAACATGGTGACCATGATGAAGGAGAAAGTCAACACCCACTTTTCCTTCCCGTTACGCTTGGATATGACCCCTTACACCGAAGATTTCCTCATGGGGAAAAACGACAGGAAGGAAGGTGTGGATTCAACAGGCTTTGTCCCTTTGATCTGCGCATCACTTTCTGTAGAACCAGAAGCAAACTGGTTTTCTTTTTAAAATCAGTATTCTCAAAGTCTCACACTTGTATTTCGTGTATTAAAAAAAGGCCGATTATTTTTGGTTTCATTTACTTCTCAATTCGAATCCGTGTTTAAAATGTGAAAGAACCTGCAAATAGTTACGTGCACTTTGAAGCTGGGGTGTCTAGGAAATAAATGATTAAACATTGTGTTGAATTATTCCAGGTTTTAAGGAAGATGGAGGATATTTGAAAGAGACTGAAAGTTACGAGTACGACCTGATCGGTGTGACAGTTCACACGGGAACAGCGGATGGGGGGCACTACTACAGCTTCATCAGAGACATTGTCAATCCCCACGCCTACAAAAACAACAAATGGTGAGCTCTGCACACCAGCATTTTGGGATTTGTCAGCTGTTCTGCCTCGACATTTATTAGGGGATATGTGCTGTAGGTTGCTCTAGGAATTTGGTTAATTTATTACCATTTATTACAGGTTAGTTTGCTGGAGGTGGGACAGTTGTGCAGTGCCTCGGGCACAGGGGTGGCCTTACATCACAGCTTCCTGATGGGCCTGGATTTTAATCCATTCCAGTCCAAAAGAACAGGAAGATTGTCCTTTCTAAAATCAGCTCCATTCCTGACTGTGGAATTCAGGGAAGGGGAGAGGTGTGGGCATGGCCAGGAGGAGGGGCTTGCCAGGGAACACCTTCCACTTGTCGTTTCTTCAGGGGACATTTCCACTGCTCACTGAGGCCCTGCAAGAGGAGACAGGATTTCCTCTATTCCTCTTCTCTAGAAAAACAGGAGTATTTCACCACTTTCTCTCATCTTATTGGAAGGAAATCACTTTTGGGCTCAGTTTTTCATTTCCTGTGATCCCAGCAAGACATTAGGAATTAATGGGAATCCTCCAAGGAATCACTTGAGGAGCTCCTGAGGCTTTCTTTGCCCTCAGGGATGAGCAGCAGTTGTTTCACAGCTCTCTGTTCAACAGGTACCTGTTCAATGATGCTGAAGTGAAACCCTTTGATTCTGCCCAGCTGGCTTCGGAGTGTTTTGGGGGAGAAATGACTGTAAGTTATTTTATGCATCAGAAAGCTGTGACTTGAATTTTTGTCACGTTCAGCTGCTTAAAATATCTGTTCCAATGTGTTCCAATCCAGGCATTTTTATGGGGTTTTAAAGGGAAAATATATACTCCTGTATAAGTAATAATATAAGTATTACAGTAGTAAAGTATTGCTATGTTAGTAATAATTAGTATATTAGGAGTATTGCTGTAAGTATTACTAATAGTATATATACTACATAGTACATATAATAATACTTATAATACCCAGTAGTATAAGTGTTACTAATGAAGCAAAGTTAATTAGTGAAGTCTCTCCAGTGAGGAGGTATTTCTTTACTCTGTCTGGGGTTTATCATACTATTTATGTAGTTATAAAAGAGTGAGTATGCAGCTAATTTGGGGATCCTTCACTGGAATGGCTGTTTTGCTCAGAGCATCGATGGAAGGAATAATTAGTTGCAGCTTATGCCTGATGTGGAAGAGCAGAGATTTTGGATCCTGTGTGACCTCAGTTGGAATATTTTTACAACAGTGTTAATACCAGTAACTGCATAACACTCAAATGCTCTCGGGTTATGCTCAGATTGGTCATTATTTGTATTTACAACTGTAAATCATGATGGAAACCACATAATAAATAACAGGATCTTACTAAAGCAGTTCTGTGCAGAAGAAGACTTCTTGTCTGACAAAGGCAAGATGCAGAAATAAAACAAAAGAGTTATTTAATTTGGGAAAAGGATAAAACACCTTCAGGTGCCTAAGAAGATAAGAAGTGTCAGGGAGATGGATGAGACAGGAAACTGCTTGGGATGTAGGTCACAGGATGGCAGAACAGCCTTGAAAAATCAGGATAAGGCACTGGAAAAGGAAAAAAAAAAAAAAACAAGACTCCTCTGTGCAAATGGCATGAAACAGTTCACGTTTATCCCAAATTAAAAAACCCTTGTAATTAATGGCTTTACTTTCTTCCTGACAGACCAAAACTTACGATTCTGTTACTGATAAATTTATGGACTTCTCCTTTGAAAAGGTATTTTCCCTTCCGACCCCCTTGTCGTGTTCTCGCGTTTCTGATTGCCTGCTGCGCCTCTCCGAAGTGTAAATGATCGAGCTGTTTTTCTCTCCCAAGACACACAGTGCTTACATGCTGTTTTATAAACGGATGGAGCCAGAGGAGGAAAATGGCAGAGACTACAAATTTGATGTCTCGTCAGAATTGCTGGAGGTACAAGTTTGATTTGTTTTTTTAACGCCGCTTTGAAAAGCCCCAGACGCGTCAGAAAGCTGATTAAACGTGGGAAAGCCAAAAATGACGTCACTCTCTAAGGTGACAGTCTTCTCGCTGTCATGGGATAGGAAAGAAATTAAGATTTAGAATTTTTTTTTCTCATTTTATCCCCAATATATCCCTTTTTTTATCACCTGGATAAAACGTATCCCTGCTCCCCCCCTGGCCAAAAATATCGCTTTAGCCACATTTCAGGTTCTGAACTTAAAAAGACTCTTCATGCCTTGCCAGCAAATCACATCATGCTTTTTTATCCTTCTCAGTCTTAAAAATATTGAAAGATTTTATCAGAGTTGAAGTTTTAAGCTGTTTTTATGTGAAAAGCGCTCTGAACAGATTTGGTCCCAAAAATCACTTTGGAGAGAGGGGCAGAAGGAGCTGAAATGAAATCCTGTTCTGGTGAAGGAGGGAGAGTCAAACCTCACTCTTCAGGAATTATTGGAAGGGCACAGAGCTCATCAAGCTTCGGGTTCAGCTTCAGTTGGGGTTGAACTGTGGGTTTTTTTCAACATGTTGGACCAGTTCTCCAAATTCCAACCTAAAAGTCTGAATAAAGTTGTAAAAATGAGGTCCCAGAAAGAAGAGAAAATGCTTCCAAAAATAATTTTTCACAAGGAAAAAAAAAAATAAATTGATTTTTTTTTTTTTTTAACCATGGCAAACATTTAAATACTCTTAAAATCATACTTAAGTAGTGAAATAAACTGCTGTCTTGTATCTGATGTTAGCATTTTTTCTTCAGTGGATATGGCATGATAACATGCAGTTTCTTCAAGACAAGAACATTTTTGAGCATACATATTTTGGGTAAGTTTGTTTTTTTTTTTCCCCTCTTTAAAAATGTAATCGTAACGCTTCTTTTCTTCTTGCAGATTTTCATTGTTTATTTTAATTAACAAAATCAAATTACTGACTCTAGGTTTATGTGGCAGTTGTGTAGTAGCATCCCAAGCACGCTCCCAGATCCCAAAGCGGTTTCTCTGATGACAGCAAAGGTAAGAATTCCCCAAAATCTGTCATCTCACAAATTAACCTTTCCCTTGTTTGCATTTTTCAGTCCTGCATTCTAAATTAACGGTGCCATTTTTTTTTTCCAGTTAAGCACTTCCTTTGTGCTAGAGACGTTTATTCATTCAAAGGAAAAGGTATTTTATTTCCTTGTAAACTCTTATCGAGTAGCTGCATGAGTAGAGAGCGAGAAGTAGTTCTGTGCTTTTCGTTTTAGAAGTGTGATTTTTGAGTAGCATAGACAATGCAGATTAAATATTTAAGGAGCCATTAATGTCATTTAACACATTTACAGTGAGCACTGCACAGTGGAATAAAATGGATGTGTAAAAATGTCCGTATTTTTTGGTCAGTGCAATGTATTACTAATTTATAAAATTTATTGTCTCTATTCTTAAGATTTGATGTTCTGCCTAACCATTTAAAAGTGTTTAAAGGCGAAGTTGAAAAGCATTATTTTAAGTTTTCTTTGTGTTTCTTTTTGCAGCCCACAATGCTTCAGTGGATTGAACTGTTAACAAAACAGTTTAATAACAGTCAGGCAGCTTGTGAAGTAAGTGACTTAGGAACTCAGCAAAGTACAAACCAACTTTCTATATATTGTTTAACTTTCCTGGAGGTTCGTATCCCTGGAATATTTTGGACTATCAACTGCTGTATGTGGTGTTATTTGTGCACTATGAGATGAGATTCGTCCTCTCTGATCCCTGCAGATTCTGGGGAATGACTGCACTTTGACTTGCAGAAACCTCTGTTGAGACCACAGGGCAAAATCATTTTGTCACTGGAATAAGAGAGGCAGCGTCACAGTGTCTTTATTTGATTGATGTTTGCATCGTGAGTTGTGTAATTAAGAAATGTTTCAATTCAGTCACGGGCAGGCAAAGAATTCTCGTGTCGGTGAAAACAATCTGAAGAGAAGTTTGGGGTGCTTTCTGTGACAGTTTGAATGTACAAGCAGCCCAGCACATACTGTGTCTTGCATTAGACCTTATTCAGTAGAAAAGAATTAAAATAATCATTCTGTTATAGGTATTAAATTCTATTAAAAAGTCTAGGCTGATAAATTGTTGTGTACCATTCATTATTTGGGTGGTACACTCCCCTCAGTCCTGAGGCTTTTGAGTAAAGATATTTTACTGGAGTAAAGAACACTCAGGTGCAATTAAAATAAAAGTAAGAACATGAATTCTTGATTTTAAGCTGTCTCTCCCTGGGACTAAACCACAACCCTGTGAGTCACAAGACTCAGCTCTGTTCTTGCTGAGTGTAACTCTCAGTGAGTCATTCCCTGTTGGCTTTTTATACCTTTTGGGTCTCTGGAGGCAGGAGGGCTTTTCCACATGTTGAAATAAGTGCAGAAGGGATCTAATTCACAAACTGCTGTTTAATCCCATCACAACTCCACAAGATTCTTCAGCTTATCCTTTATTGGAAGCATCGTTTTTATTGTGTTGACATCACTTTTCAGGATTAAAGTGTGTTCTTCCAGATAATTAATGGCATGCAGAACACAGGGCTGAGAAGATGCTGCATATAAATTTATCTTGGTGTTTTTGCTGCTCTTGATCTTGATTTCTTTATTCCTTCATGCACAGAAGCCATTTTAGATTCCCCTTGGATTAAAACTTGCCTATTCCTTAATAATAAGTAACATGGATTTCTCTTCAGCCTTTAATGTCATGCAAACAGAAGATTGGACTAGAGCAAGTTTGGGAACAAAACTAACACAGTATGTATCTTCTGCAGTGGTTTTTGGATCGTATGGCTGATGATGATTGGTGGCCAATGCAGATTCTAATAAAGTGTCCCAATCAGATTGTGAGGCAGGTAAGAAAAAACGTTCCCTCCAGGGCAGGTGGGCCATGAACACACAAAGGGACAGTTCTGATGGCACAAAACGGGTCTGAAAGTTTGGGTTAGTGCAGTAATTGTGGGATTCTTTTCCATTCTTGAGTGTGATTTAGGGAATGTGTTTGGAACACGGTGGATATTAATGCAGTGCCGTGGCTGCACAGGCAGGACCACAAATGTCACCAGAGATGCAAATCGAGGTTTCTGCAACTCCCTCATCAGCCCTGCAAGTTTGAACACTTCACACAGAAGTGAATGAGTTCAGCAATAATTCATCAAGATAAACATCCAGAAAATAGGAGAGATTTAACTGTGTACATTTGGAATTCTGTAGTAGTTTTGGGGGTACATTTAATTTTATAACATTCTGCCACAAAGTTTTGTTAATACCCTTTTCTGGACATACTGCAAATTTAAAAAATCCCCCAGTATTAGTAGTATTTGGACATTCACAAACACAACTGTAAACAGTGTTACTTACAAGTCTACTTTCTTTGCAAGTTATTAAGGTTAAAAACTGTAGCATTTGCGTCATCTCACCTGAATCCTTCAGTAGAATATCTGATTATTGAAGGGATGTTTCCATATGGAACCATACATAGTTCCTACATGTAACACATCAGTAAAGGAATATATTCCATGGGAAAACTCAAAGCGAAGCCTTAGGTAAAGTTGAAATCCTCATGAATGTTTTACAACATAAAATAATTCCTGGCAGGAATTTCCTTCAGCTTTCCACATAAATTCTTACAAGCCTGAGGGGAAATTAAAATAAAAATCTTGCCAAAAATATCAAAGCATTTCAGAAAATGGAGGTGGAAGAAGAAAATAACATCTATGAGCAGCAGTGTAAGGTTGTGTTTCAGGAGTGTAGAGTGCACACCGATATTAAAAGCTGGTTTTAGGTTCCTCTGTGGGATCTCTTTATAAAAACCAGGTTTGATCTGTTCAGATGGGACAGAAATGCACTGTGGGCTCTCAGTCTCAGCTTTACCTTTGAAGTTGTGAAGAGCTGGAAGTGGGATTGGGGGGGACAGACTGTTCTTTGCTTAGAAAACACATCTTGGACCACGTGGAGCTCATTCCCTTCTCCCTCTGCAGATGTTCCAGCGCTTGTGCATCCACGTCATCCAGAGGCTGAGGCCGGTCCATGCACACCTTTATCTGCAGCCAGGAATGGAAGACTGGTAAAACACAATCCCTGGGAACTTCTCATTGTTCTCTGCATTGCTTACTAATGAATTACTCAGTCATGGAAACCTAAAATGGTGTTCATTTAATTGGCCTTTATTATTCTGCCCGAAAACTGCTCTGATTTATTTAAAAGTACTGTTAGGGTTGCAAAAGCAACTGTCTGAAGAGACACTCTTTGGAATATTTCTTCTCTTAGATAGGTTTTCAGTATGGTCTGTATTTTCCCTGTCAGTAGTACCCTGCAAGTGTAAATCTCACTGCTTAGAACTTGGGAATCCTACTGGCAATGGGATGTGGGGGCACTTTTTAACTTGCACACGCAGTAAAGGAAGGCTGGAGGAGAGAGGCAAGTCCTGTAAGTAAATCACAGTTCTTGTCAAAAAGTAGGGAGAACCCTCTTGGATTCTGTTTGGTTCTGCTTACTCCCAAGAAAACTGTCACTTTAGCTCCAATTCTGAAATAGTTAAACACTTTTGGATACATAATGAGAAGAGGAAGAAAGTGGTTTTTCTTTTACTCTTATGCTAAGCTTGTGATTTTCCCCCGAGTGAAAATGGCAGTAATAACTGTAATTAATAACTGTGCTGCCATATCAAAACTCAGGACATGAAGATACAGTTTTTGTGACAAAAGACAGGATTTTATTTTCTCTGGAAGCCTGACCTGCAAAGCCTCTGTTGGGTGATAAGATCCAGCCAGGAGCAGATGAATAATAACACGTGGTGTGATCTGGGCTGGACCCGGCAGAGGAGAAAGGGGCAGAGAAGCAAACAGGGATTTTTTTGTGAATTTATTAATTTGTGGCTGGTTCAGGCTGACTTTATGCTCCGTGTTTGTACATCCATGAAATCCCTGACTGCTGGGTTTTTGTTTGGGTGCAGCTCTGATGACATGGACGGCCCGGTGGAGGACATCGGCAGCCGCTCGTGCGTCACGCGCTTCGTGAAGACCCTCCTGTCCATCATGGAGCACGGGGTGAAACCCCACAGCAAACACCTCACTGAATACTTTGCCTTCCTTTATGAATTTGCCAAAATGGGGGAAGAGGAGGTGAGTCCATGCCTGGGTTTTGGGGGAATCAGCTCTGGATGTGCACGTGGGGGTCAGGCAGTAATTCCACACCCCCTGTGTTCCAGAGCCAGTTCCTGCTCTCGCTCCAAGCCATCTCCACAATGGTCCATTTCTACATGGGAACTAAAGGACCTGAAAATGTGAGTTTGAATGTCTTGGATGAAAAACACCAGTTTTTCACGTTTTGCATCTGATCATTAGTGCTCTGTCTCTTGAACCGTCTTTTAGCTGGGAAATTAAAATTGCTCCATTACAATTATGCAATACTTCAGTTACATAAATGATACTATTTTTTCAATGTTTAGGTGATATTTAAAAAAAAAAAAAAAAAAAAAAA